AACATCCCCCTGCAGCGTCTTCCTCCTGCCCTGTGTTTCCTACCACACACCCCCATTCTGTCTCCTTCACCCATCCTCACCCCGCCCCCTCCACTCAGCTCCTATTACGACCCCCATCCTACGTGTTGTTGCGTATTAACTTTGGTCACACCTCTCCCTCCACTCCCTCCACAAGCCCCTGCAGTATGGTTTTCGACCTGACTGCGCACAGCACAGAGACAGCGCCAATCAATATCACAGACAACATTCTTTCTATCTGTGATCAGGGCTCCCTCTGCCTCCTCGTCCTCCTGGATCTCTCTGCCACATTCGACATAGTCGACCACGCCATCGTCCTCCACTCCCTCATCTACCTTAGTGTGGAGTCCTATAGCTCAGTGGTTAGAGCACTCGCTTTGCAAGCGAGAGACCTGAGTTCAATTCCAGGCAGAGGGTGAAACCTTGGGCAAGTTTCCTTACTCCACACAGAGCCTAATAATAATCCCTCCAAAACCAAAAACAATAATAAATTGGTCATTTTCAATCCACGACTGTTTGTGGGTCATTGCTGTGCGCAATTGGCTGCTGCGTTCGCCCACAAATATACAGTCAATTCACTTTACAGTGTGTTCTGTGAAGCGCTTTGGGACGTCCTCCCGACGTGAAAAGCGCTATATCAAATGCAAGGATTATTATTATTATTAGTGAGACTGCAATCGCATGGTTCTAGTCCTACTTAACCAACCGCCTCTATTTCATCTCAGCAAATGCTTTCTCCTCCTGTCCCTGCCTGGTCACCTGCGGGGTAACCCAGGGCTCCATCTTAGGCCCTCTTTTCCTTATCTATGTGCTCTCTCTGGACGATGTCATCTGCAGACACGGTGTAAACTTATAACATGGATGTACTTTACCTCCTCAAGTACCAACTCCAGGTCCACCGATGTTCTATCAGCTTGTCTTGCAGACATCAAGGCCTGGATGAGTGTAAACTTCCTGCAGCTGAATATGAACAAGATGGAAGCCATACTTCTTGGCTCCTATCAATGTCTTCACTCCTGCGGGTATAACTCCTCAACCTCCTTGGGCTCTCCCTCAGACTCACCGAATCTAGGCATCCGGTTCAACCCCCAACTGTCCTTCCTCCCCCACATCCAGTCCCTGACCAGAAATGCCTTCTTCCACCTCTGCCACATTGGCCCCCTCCGACCGTACCTTACCCCAATGCAGCCGAAACATGTGTATGTGTTTGTCACCTCCTGCTTCGATTACTCCAACGCACTCCTCGCCAGTCTCCACAGCTCCACCATTCAAAAAATCCAGCTCATTCACAATTCTGCTGTCAACATACAACAACAACAAGATTACATTTGTATAGCGCCTTTCACGTTGGGAGGATGTCCCAAGGCGCTATCACTGACCCGGATCAAACTCCTTACCCAATTCTCACCAGTCCTGGCCAGGCTCCACTGGCTCCCCATCACTGAATTGATCGACTTCAAGATCCTCACTCTCATGTTCAATCCCTCACTCTCTGGGACCTCTCTACCTCTCCGACCTCCTCACTCCCGAATTCACCACTCGGCACCTCCGCTCGACTGGCACTGGCCTCCTGCTCGTCCCTCACTCCCTCCGCCCCACCATCGGAGGTCGCGCTTTCAGTGACTACTCCCCCAAACTCTGAAACACTCTCCCTCAATCCCTCCACTTTGCCCCTCTCTCCCCTCTTTCAAGTCCCACCAGAAAACTTTCCTCTTTGACCGTGCTTACGGCCCCCTCCCTCCCCCACAGCTCGGAGTCAGGCTCTGTATCTGTTAAGCACTCTGAGACACATCCTGCATGGAGGCCGCTATATAGTGTAAGTTGTTGCTTGTTGTTGTAACTTCACTAGAAAAATGAGTTCTCCTGTCACTGTTTCCAATATTTTCATAATAATAATAATGAATAATAATGAAAAATGAATAATAACTTCATTTTGTGGAATTGCTTTAGTTTATAGAATCCTGTGTACCAATGTTGCTCTGGATTCCCTTTGGGAACTGCCAACGTATACAACAAAAAAATTACATTTCACATGTATACCCTGATATGAATACGTTACCAAAATATATGAATTCCCCTTTTTTGTTTGGGGTCTAGTCTTTCCCAAGTCTCGGTACTTGATACGCTACAGGTCCCATTTCAACTTTTTCGTCACAGTATTTTTTTATTTGGCAGTTCTGATTTACTCTCTCACACCTCGTGTAAGCTGACACTTAAACATCCACCTTGGTGTCCATTTTATCCCGCCAATATTCTCATAAATTATTTATGGTCCCCTTCGTTCCATTATGTTATGTTCCGGAGGCCTCCGTTTTCTTTTACCCATAGGAGTCTATCCTTCCGATTTTCCAATTTTTTCCCTTGTCCAAATTGGGAGGGTATCCCTCATGTTCAAAGCAAGCAGGCTCAGCAGTTGTACCAGTTCCTTATAATAAATAATAATCCTTGCATTTGATATAGCACTTTTCACGTCTTCTATACGTCTCAAAGCGCTTCACAGAATATACTGTAAAGTGAATTGACTATATTTGTGGGCGAAACGCGGCAGCCAATTGCGCACAGCAGCGTCCCACAAACAGTCGTGGATTGAAGTGACCAATTTATAGTTTTTTTCTTGATGGATTATTATCAGGCTTGTGGAGTAAGGAAACTTGCCCTTGGTTTCACCCTGCCGGGAATCGAACCCAGATCTCTTCCTTGCGAGGCTCTAACCACTGAGCTACAGGATTTCTTTATCCTTACTTATACTACAGTCTACCTTTCCTATGATCATCACTCCGTCTTTTTTATATTATGTTGCTTTTGCTAGGGTATCTGCTCTTTCATTCCCTTGAGCATCTTCCCCCACTCTCCTGTGTCCATTTGTAAGCTATATTATAAGAATGAATAGTTCCTGCTGTTTTAGTATATGTGTCTTTATGTACTTGTGGTTTACTCTGGTGGTCTACCCACCCTCTTTCCAATCTGCTAATTCCTCGCTGTGCGCCTGATCTATCGTTGCTTTGTTTATCCCTATATTATTCTAATGCTTCTTTCAGAGCTAGGATGTCTGAATGCCGTCCGGCAACTTTTCTTTACACAAATAGCGCCTGTCTCTCTCCACCCCGAAGAGAACCATGTCCCTGTCACAATTCCTAACCCCCCGGGTCTCTTTTCTTCTATTTTCTAGTCACAGTATGGGACTGACAGCTCTTTTTCTAACTCATACTTCTGTCCCCTTTACCAACCTGTTGTGTATAAACGACTGACTGACTGTAATAATTATATATTGTATTGCTTAACGTATGCGTATTATGTAGTTTAAAGCATTGATTGCTTAAATGGGGTTATTGTCTGACCCAAATGAGCTTGAGCTTGGCCCCCTCCTACCTCCCTGACCTGCTGACTCCCTACCAACCTGCCCACTCCCTCCGTTCATCAGGCTCCGGGCTGCTCCATGTCTCCCGCCCTACCATCGGTGGCCGGGCTTTCAGCCTCTCTGCCCCACACTCTGGAACTCCATCCCACGGTCCCTTCGCCTCTCTTCCTCCCTCGCCTCCTTCTATGCCGGTCTCAAGACCCTTCTCTTCAACCGTGCCTTTGATCTCCCTCCTACTCTCTGCCTTCCCTCACCCCTACACCACCCCTCCCCCATGCTTGGGTCCTGACCTCTGACTGTTCAGCGCTATGGGACGTCCTCCCGACGTGAAAGGTGCTCTAAAATGTAATTTTGTTGTTGTTGGGTAAACCCGTACCAACGCTGGAAGTTCCTTTGAGCGCTAGTACTTCTGAATGTTTGCACATACCGTTATTTCAGCGTAACATTCATTTAAGTACATTTTGATTGAATTTAAATAACATTGTGACCCGGATGGTGTCATCAAGTGTCCAAAGGAGTAGGTTACACTAATTTGGCGGGTAACTTGCCATTCTAATATGCACATGAAGGATTGGAAAGTGAACCTGTCCTGTATTGGGCAACTGAGGGGAGGATTCTGATTGGATTATAAGGGCACCAAATAATGTGAGGTATCCCCCGCATACCTTTTCCCGGATCTCAGATCCGGTGTCTTTTTACGTTTCTCCCTGCCCAGGAATCGAACCCAGATCCTCTCGCATGCGAGGCGAGTGCTCTAACCAATGTAGGACTCTATTTACAATTCTTTCATTGTGTGGGTGAGTTGGGTGAACCCTGTTGGCTCAGATTCTCCTCTCACTGACCCCACCATTACCTGCCTGCTAAACTCTTAAGTCCCCTGGCGGATACAGATACATTCGCACTTCTTTTTCCTGCTCTACATAGTTGTGAGATCGACAACCGGGCCCCATGTTGAGCACCAAATGTCACAGAACTCTCGTCTCTGGGTGAGAATTATACCTCAATTTTGTCGAAGATATTCGCCCAATCAGAGTAATCTCACAAACTACACTCAATACGTAGCTTCCAATAAAATCTTTCATGTTTAATCAATTGATACAATTAAATATATTCATATTCCCACTTTCGGAGCAATCATCACAAAAGCAACAAACACACTATACTTCAATCAAAACTAAATTACTCAACTACTGAGCCTCAACGCTTGGGTCCCCAGGGGTAAACAAATCGACTAAACTTACCTGATTTCAATCCTCGTGTTAGTCCCTTGATGCTCTGGCGGATGGGGAGCCAGTGGAGCTGGGTGAGGATGGGGGTGATCTGAAAACTCGCATTTGATATAGCGCCTTATATCACGTTTTCGAGACGTCTCAAAGGCGCTTCACAGAATATACTGTAAAGTTAATTGACATATTTTGTGGGTGAAACATGGCACATGTGTGCACAGCAGTGTCCTGCAAACAGTCGTGGATTGAGTAACCAAATTATTTGTATTATTTCTTTTTTGGGAAGAGGGATTATTACCCTCAGAAAATTCAATCAACTAACAACCGGTTTCCTACTCACTACTAGGTAAACAGAGGCATGTGGAGTAAGGACACTTGCGTGAGGTTTCGCCCTGCTCGGGAATCGAACCCGGGTCCTTTCGCTTGCGAGGTGAGTGCACTAACCACTACACTACCGGTTGCGTAGTCACTATACTTTACACTAAATCTTGTGAAGAGCTTTGAAACATTCTCTGAACAACTACAGAAAATTGTGTTTATATAGCGACTTTCACATCAGGAGGACGTCCCAAGGTGCTGGACTGTGAAGGGTTACACCTGAGCTGGGGGCGGGAGTGAAGACGGGAGGAGGGGAAGGGGTTTGGTGGTAGGAAAATTACCAATGATGTGGTTAAAGAAGAAGATCTTAGAACGGGCTTTGATGAATGCAAGGGAGGGGCGAGGTGGAAGAGACTCCGGAATGGATTTCCAGAGGGTGGGGCAGAAAGACTGAAGGCCTGACCTCTGATAGTGGGCAGGGCAGGGGATATGGAGCAGGCCAGTGCTTGTCAAGCAGAGGGAGCGGACGGGTTGGTAATGTTTTAGGAGGTCACAGAGGTAGGGAGGAGCAGGACCTTGGAGGGCTTTAAAAGTGAAGACGAGGATCTTGAACTTGATGCTCTGGCGGATGGGGAGCCAGTGGAGCTGGGTGAGGATGGAGGTGATCGGCTCACGGAGCTCAGTGAAATTTCTCGACATGCAAGCCCTGATATCGATAGGATTATTATTACTTGTTACTAAACACTATTCTCTCTTGTTGTGATTGTGTGCTTGACTCTGCCCTGACCTGTACGTCTTTTTCTTCCCTTAGTGCAGCATTGATTAACCGCAAGATCAACGCAATCTGGGCTGGTAGTTTGGAAGGATGCATTCCCTTGTCTTCTTCTGCGCTCAGAAAGTCATCTCTGACCATGCCTCGACCCGTAAAGCCCTGGACTCCATCCCGCACGAGATCTATCCGGTGCTCTTCAAAGCTGCTTTCCTCGACCAACGGATCCTGGTGCTACGTGACTTGGTCCAGATGTGGCCATTTGCTGAGCTCAACTTCTCCAGCATCCTCAAGAAGAGCAAGCACTGCGACCAGGACATGATCCGAGAGAAGCCCAACAAGCAGTGCCTGCAAGCTGTGATCCTCGGGGTGAAGGATTACGTGATCAACGAGCTGCGACAGAACCGAAGCCTCACCAGCAGGTACCCGACGGCTGCTATCGCCTTGCAAGCTGGGAGCTTGCTTCCCTCATCAGTTGGGGACCACGGCAATATCAGTGCTAATATTCCACATCCCCCCTTCGCTTGCCTCCTTCACGTTCTGTCTTAAGAGCTTCCTCTTTGAGCGCCTTTGATCATCTTCCCACCCCCACCCCTCTCGAATCCAACCCCCAACTCGGGTGCAAACCCTTGACTGTTCAGTGCCTTGGGACATTCTCCTGACGTGAAAGGTGCGATGTAAATGCAATTTGTTGTTGTTGCCTCATCACTCACAGTTTGTGCTGAACAAGCTGATCTCAATTGGAGATGCAATTGTAAGTGCTGTAGTTAAGTGCCTCTGGGTTAGGGAGGGGAAATTTCAGAGCTCAACTTAACTTTTCTCTTGAGAGGTTTTGGATCATAGTTTCTCTGATCCTCTGTGTCTGGAGGATTTCTCAATTCCCTACTCAAACCCCTTCATTCCGTTTATCGCCCTGCCCACAGCACAGAGACAGCGCTCGACAGAGTAACAAATGATGTCCTCTCCCTCTCTCTGATCAGGGCTCCCTCTGCCTCCTCATCCTTCTTGTCCTCTCTGCCGCGTTTGCCACAGCGGAGAACACAGCAGCATTGCCTCTCCTTCCTCATCCACCTTAGTGGGACTGCACTTGCATGGTTTGAGTCCTACTCGACTAACAACCAACAATATATCTTGGCCAATGGTTTCTCCGCCCGCCCCCGCCCAGTTACATGTGGTGTACCCCAAGGCTCCATCCTTGGCCCCCTTTTTATGATTTACATGCTCCCTCAACCATGTCATCCACAGTCAACTTCCACATGTATGAGATGACCCGCAAATTTCTTCTCCTTCAGCTGTGACCCCCAGTCCGCTGATGTCTGTCAGCTTGTTTGATGAACATCAGGTTCCTGTTAGGGCGTAAATTTCCTGCGGATGAACATCGGCACGATGGAAGCCATACTCTTTGGCTCCCGCTAACGTCCTCTTTCCTGCGGGTCTGAACTACTGAACTTCCCTGGGCTCTACCTCAGATTCACCAAACCTGTGCGCAATCTGGGCATCAGGTTCGATCCCCAGCTTTCCTTTCTCCCCCACATCTATTCCCTGACCAGGAACACATTTTTCCACCTCCGCCACATTGCCTGCCTCCTTCTGTACCTCACACCCACAGCAGCAGAAACCCTCGTCCACGCCTGTGTCACGTCCTGGCTGGACTTTTCAAATGCCCTCCTTGTTGGCCTCCCCAGTTCCACCATACAAAAATACAATTAATTCAAAACTCCGCAGCCCGCAATTACCAAACAGATAGACTTCAAGATCCTCTCATTCGTTTTCAAATCCCTTGATGTGCTCGGACCTCCCTACCTATCCATTTGCTTAGCCCCCACTCCACCACCTGCTGCCGTGCTTTCAGCCACTGCACCCCGAAGCTCTGGAAATCCCTTCTTCAATCCCTCTGCCTTGCCCACTCCCTCCCCCTTTTAAATTCCACCTAAAGATCTTCCTTTTTGATCATGCCTCTCCCCCTGGCTTGGGGACAGACTCCGCCACTGTCAAGCACTTCAGGATACTACCCCAAAGAAGGGTGCTATATAAATGAAAGTTGTTGTTGTTGTCTGCCCATTACCCATGGAGAGACGAAGAAAAACATTTCAGCAGCTTGCTGAAAATCATGTGTTTAATAGTTAGCCAAGACCCTTACTCGTAACAGAGGAGGGGAAGGGACAGAAGGATTTTTAACTTTGTTTCTGTTATTTTACAGAAAAACTAGAGCATCAACATCAAAGGACAAGTACACATTTAGGTACAGCATGATATATTAATCTGTGCGATCAGAGAGAGAGAGAAAAAACGTACAGAGAAATAGGATGTGTTTTTTTCAAAAAAAAGTTAATTTGCGGAAGAGATGAGGTGGAAGGTTCTCAAAATGATTTCTATTATTATTTTACATATTATTTTACAGAAAACCAAAAGCAGCAGCGCCAAAGGACAGGAACAAGTCTAGGTACAGCAAGAGGCTTATTCTGCTCGCTCAGATAGACATAAAGAGGCACATGTGAAGCATTATCACCTCAACCCATTCAACATTTTGAAGAGAACGGTTAACCAGTGCTATCCCAGAGATTGGGTATCTCCAATTGTCCTTTGACAACTCACCCTCTCTCTTCCATTAGTACCTTTTGACAGAGTGGACCCTCCGTCAGCCTCTACAGCCCTGTTGACTGAGCCATTAATAATGAGATAATAATAACTGCATTCAGTATAAGGCCTAATCACAGCTGTGAAATATCTTAAAGCGCTTCACAGGATTCTCTGTGGCGTGGATTGGCTATAAAGAGCTGACCCTCCCTCTGCTGTGGTGCTGAATTTAATCCAGTTTATTTTGGTAAAAGTTGCAATTGCACATTAAGGTGAGGTTTTATTGTAGATGTGGAGAATTTTCTAGTGTTTGCATCAACCACCCCCTGAGCTCGGATCCAAAGTAAAGCTTCCCCTACTTGGCCCAACAGTGTAAATGAATCCCAACTTTTAAAAAAAAATCTGTATGACCTTTTGCAACGGTTTGAAACAGAAGTAGTTATGTCAGCAGAGAGGAGGCTTTCATTATATTGTATCCTGGGTTTGATTGCAACACACAGAGATGGAATCCCGTAGGGTAGTAGTTAGCGGGCTTGCCTCGTGAGCGAGAAGACCCGGATTAAATTTCTGGGTGGGGTGGGGGGGCGAAACCTTGGGCAAGTTTCCTTACTCCACTGTTTACCTAGCAGTAAGTAGGAATTAGGTTGTTTCAGAATTGGCAGATCACTTTCCAGGTGTTATAATCCCTTCTAAAAAAAAATCCACAAATGTTTATGGGACACTGCTGTGTGCAATTGACTGCCGCGTTTTGCCCACGAAGTAAGTCGATCCACTTTAGAATATGTTCTGTGATGCACTTTGAGACATCTCAATGACTTCATAAAGTGCTATATCAAATGCAAGGATTATTATCAAACGTTAAGACGGATTTTGCTTCAATCACCATTCTAGATAGGACATGTTCTAAAACCCTCTTGGCTGATCTTCAGACCTAACTCTAATTACCTGCCCTATCCCCATATCCCCTAATCCCTCTATTTTTAAAAAATTTATCAGACGGTATTCAAGGCTGAGACTGATAAATCTACAGCCTTCTGGGGATCCTCATCCTCACTTACAAGGCCACTCAAGGCCTTGCTCCCTCCTACCTCTCCGACCTACTATCCCCCTACTTACCTGCCCATACCCTCCGTTCCTCTGGCTCCGGTCTGTTCCACAGCCCCCGCCCTAACCGCCCTACCATCGGTGGCCGGGCCTTCAGCCTCTCAGCCCCGAGGCTCTGGAACTCCATCCCCCAGTGCCTTCGCCGCTTCCTCCCTTTCCTCCTTCAAGGCCCCCGAGGAGCCTTAATTTCCAGTTTGCTGATCAGCTCTGCTTCATTGCACAAAACAAGGTCTAATATGGCCTGTTCCCTGGTTGGCTCCTCGGCATACTGATCCAGATAATTATCCCTAATACATTCTATAAACTCTTCCTCTATCATACTTTTCCTAATTTGGTTGTCCCAATCTATGTGCAGATTAAAATCACCGACAATTAATGTTTTTGCTTTACTACATGCTCTGCTAACTTCCTGATTTATACCTTGAGAGATACTGTGACTGCTGTTCGGGGGTCTATAAACTACTCCCACTAGAGTTTTCTGCCCCTTGTTGTTACGTACCTCTACCCATACTGACTACTTCCTGCTTTTCTGATTTAAAATCTTCCTCTCTACTTTTTTTATCCCATCCTTTATTAAAAGGGCCACCGCCCCTCCTCGTTTACCACACTGCCTATCTTTCCTATACACCACGTACCCTGGAATATTTAGCTCCCACCCTTGGTCTCCCTGTAACCGTGTCTCGGTGATGGCTACCAGATGATACCCGTTTGTTTCTGTTTGTGCATTTAACTCAACTATCTTGTTTCGAATGCTTCGCGCATTCAGATATAGCACTTTTAATTCTGACTTCGGGCTATGAGTCCTATTCACCAGTACCCTATCCCTGGGCTTCCTTTCCCCGTTTGACACCCTTTGCTCATCTCCCTGGTTAATCTGCTCTCCCACTTTCATCGGTCCTAATTTTAATTGTAACGGATTACATGTGATTGAATTTCCCCCCACCCCCCTTAGTAGTTTAAAGCCCTGTCTACCTCCCTATTTATTCGTGTTAATAATAATAATAATAATAATCCTTGCATTTGATATAGCGCTTTTCACGTCGGGAGGACATCCCAAAGCGCTTCACAGAACACACTGTAAAGTGAATTGACTTTTTGTGGGCGAACGCGGCAGCCAATTGCGCACAGCAATGTCCCACAAACAGTCGTAGATTGAAAATGACCAATTTATTATTGTTTTGGGTTTTCTACTCTTTAGCTTAACTCCCAATTCCTGGAACTTGCTCCTCAACTTGTCCCTACCTGTCCTACCTACATCATTGGTCCCTCTGTGATTCATAACGATTGGATCCACTCCCTCCTGCTTCAAATTTTTCTCCAACCCAGAAGTGACGTTCTTCACCCTGGCCTCAGGAAGGTAACAGAGTCTTCTTGTCTCCTTGCTACGGCTGCAGAAAAGTGTTTCAGTCTTCCTGACTGTCTCATCCCCAATTACCTCTTTATTCCTTCTGACTATTCCCAGTGTGGCCTCCTGTATAGAGGTGTTGGGGTAAGTTTGCCCATCTTCCTCACAGACTTCCTTGCCCACACAGGTTGCAAGTATTTCATACCTGTTGGACAAGGTTAAAGCCTGGGGTTCCTCTGTCCCTCTCTTTCGGGTCCTCTTACGCTCCTGTCTGACCGTCACCCAGTCCTGTCCGTAGCTGGCAACGGAATGTTCCCTGGGATTAGTGGGAGTGTCTGGCTCCAGGATGAAACTGTCCAGGAAGCTCTCCCCATCTCTAATGCTGCGCAGTGTCTCCACCTGTGACTCCAGCTCAGCTATTCTAAGGTGGAGCTTCCTCAGTTGCACATATTTGCTGCAGATGAAGTCGCCCGGGCTCAGGGCACCATCCATCAACTCCCACATATCACATTTCATTTTCTCTTTTAGTAATTACCTCTCATTCGTAGCTCAGTGGTTAGAGCACTCGCCTCACTAGTGAGAGACCTGGGTTCGATTCTAGCAGAGTGAAACTCTGGACAAGTTTCCTTACTTGAGACGTCTTGGGTGCCTTGGGACGCCCTCCCGACGTGAAAGGCGCTCTATAAATGGAATCTTGTTGTTGTTGTTACTCCACACGCTTAATGATAATCCCTCAAGAAAAAAACAATAATAATTTGGTCACTTCAATCCACGACTGTTTGTGGGACACTACTGTGCGCATTTGGCTGCCAAGTTTCACCCGCAAATATACGGTCAATTCGCTTTACAGTGTATTCTGTAAAGCGCTTTGAGATGTCTAGAAGATGTGAAAAGCGCTAAATTAAATGCAAGGATTATTATTATTATTATTGCCTTACACCATTCCCTCCAATTACTAATTGACCAACCAGAAGAAATAAATTCTCCCCATTAACCCATCAGCAGTCCTCAACATTTTAAAAATCTTATAATTTAAGAACTCCCATCAGATCTCTTTCAAACCTTCTTTACTTTAGGAAAAACAGCCCCAGTTCTACAGGACTCCAGTTCTTCAAACTATGTCTTCTGGTCTGATTGTATTGATTCTACTGTCTTGATATCCTTCCTGCAGTGCAATGACTAAATCATAGAATCCTACAGCATAGAAGGAAGCCCATCCTACCTGTGCTGGCTCTTTCCCCATAGTCTTGCATTTTTTTTTCTTTTCAAGTATATATCTAATTCCTTTTTGAAAGTTACTGAATCTGCTTCCACCACCCTTTCAGGCAGTACATTTCAGATCGTACCAATTCATCTCCCCAACGATCCTTATGCTAATTATCTTAAATCTGTGTCCTCTGGTTACCGACCCACCTGCCAGTGGAAACAGTTTTACAGTATATTCTGTGAAGTGCTTTGAGGCATCTCAACGTGATAAGGCGCTATATCAAATGCAAGGATTATTATTATGGTTAATAAACTTGGACGACACAATACTTTAATTGCGATCAAACTAATAATGCATATAGTTTACCATTATTTTTACTTTAACACACATTTCGCCCACAAAATATACATTCAATTCACTTTATGGTGTATTAGTGAAGCTCTTTGAGACGTCTCGAAGACATGTTAAGGTGCTATATCAACTGCAAGGATTATTATATAAACACTTAAAGACAAAATATATAAAACCTAAAACTGAGACATAAAAACTTAAAACACATAACATTATTGGCCATTTTGTAATTGCAAAATTTCTTTTATAACCCAAAAAAAAGAAAAAGACATATATAAAAACACAATGCACGACTGTTTGTGAGACACTGCTGTGCACAATTGGCAGCTGCATTTTCTCTTCATGTTTGACCTCTTTACAATTTTTTGTCATATGCCCCATTTTTCCACAATTCTGACCTTCTATTTTGGATCTACAATCAGGACCAATGTGTGTCTGTTTACAACAACAAGTTTGTCGTTTGTATAGCACCTTTCACGTCGGGAGGATGTCCCAAGGTGCTGGACAGTGTACAACAGTGTACTTGTTTACAAGTTTGACATTCTATCTGATTTACACTCAGGACTGATATGTCCCAATTTTTCACATCTGTAACACGATTGTGGTTTTATTACCGGATCTGAGTACATTCCTTTCACCTGTGAAATTAATTTGTCCTGTCATGTCTTTCAAAGTTTGCATTGAACGTTAGTTCTTCCACACTTTTTCAGATTGTTTCTATACCAAGGCTGCTACTTTATGCCCTTTTAATTTTTTGGCTGCCGGTCTGCTTTTATCTATGATTGCATTCGGATCATCTCTATCGTACCCCATAGCACTCATTATGGCTCTGCGCAACCCTTCCAATGTCCTTTCTCCAAATATCATTTGCGAGAGTAATACATTAAATGCTTGAGTTGCGAGTGTCATTATTAGAAACCGCTTCTCTCTCGTCACATGCTTGTAGTATGACTAACCGCGAAACTTCATCAAAATGTTCGTAAGCATCCTGCTTTCCATCAAATTTCGGTAGTCAACTGGCCATTGCCTGTAATTGTATTGCATCATAAGGTTTCTGTACTTTAGTCTCTTCTACCTCAACCCCATTGTCATATTCCACCTTTGTGTTGGACCCTCTCTGGACCTGTTCCTGCTCAAACTATCGCCCCATCTCCAACCTCCCCTTCCTCTCCAAGGTCCTGGAACTAGTTGTTGCATCCCAGCTTCGCTCCTTCCTCTCCCGCCAATCTCTTCATGACCCCCTCCAATCGGGTTTCCGTGCCGCCAATAGCACAGACCAACCCTGGTCAAGGTGACAATGACATTCTGTCCATCTGCCACCAGGGCTTCCTCTGCCTCCTCATTCTCCTTGATCTCTCTGCTGCCTTCGACACCGTCGACCACTCTATCCTCAACTGCCTCTCCTCCCACCTTAACCTTCACGGTTCTGTCCTTGACTGTTTCAGATCGTACCTTTCACACCACCTCCACTTCATCTCCACAAACCCCCGCACTAGCCCCCGCACCGTCTCGTGTGGCGTTCCTCAGGGTTCTGTCCATGATCCCCTCCTCTTGAACATCTATACGCTCCCTCTTGGTGACATCATCCGCAGACATGGGGCCAACTTCCACATGTATGAAGATGACACCCAACTCTACCTCTCTGCCTCCATCCTTGACTCCAGGATCCACTGCTGTCCTGACAGAATGTCTGTCAGACATCAAGCCCTGGATGAGAGCTAACTTTCTTCAGTCAACAAGACCGAGGCTCTCCTGATTGGCTCCTATCAGCGCATCCACACCTCAGTCGCTGACAGCATCACCATCTATGGTTGCACACATCACCTCACTAAGCCAGTCCGGAACCTTGGGGTCTTGTTTGACCCTCAACTAAACTTTCTACTTCACATCCATGCCATGACCCACTCTGCCTTCCCCCACCTCCTCAATGTCACCCAGCTCCGCCACTGTCTCACACCGCAGACCGCCGAAACTCTCATACACGCATTCATAAGGCTTGACTTTGCAAACACCTTGCTTGTCGACCTCCTCAACTCCTCCATCCATAGGCTGCCGATCAGAACTCTGCAGCTCGTGTCCTCTCCCGCACCAGGCTCTGTGACCCTATCACCCCCTATCCTCGCCCAACTCCACTGGCTTCCCATCACTCAGAGGATATAGTTCAAGATCCTGGTCCTCACCTTCAAAGCCCTCCATGGCCTTGCTCCACCCTACCTCTGCGACTTCCTAACGCCCTACCAACCTGTCCGCTCCCCGCACTCATCGAGCTCCAGTCTGCTTCACGTCTCCTGCCTCGCCCGCCCCATCATTGGTGGGCGGGCCTTCTACCACTCTGCCCCCACCCTCTGGAACTCCATCTCGAAGTCCCTCTGCCTCACCCCCTCCCTTGCCTCTTTCAAGACCCACTTAAAACTCCTCTTTGACCATGCTTTCGATCACCCCGCTCTCCACCCTCACCAATCCTGACCCCCAACTCGGGTCTGAAACATTGACTGTCCAGCGCCTTGGGACGTCCTCCCGTATATAAATGTAATGTTGTTATAGAGCACATTGGAAAGGACCATTTATCCTGACTGTTTTCTCTTTGATTTCCGAGCATGGGGTAGTCATCCTACTCACTACAGTGATATCCTCATTCTGTTTGTCTAACATGGAACAAATAATGCCTCGCTGTGATGATAATTGCATTTTAAGCTTTTATATTTCTTTTGGGCATGCAACGTGACACAGGATACCCTTTTCTGGCTTCTTGTGACAGCTGCTGGCACTCTAATTACAACTTTGAAATCACTGTTCTGTTATTTAAGTTGTTTAATATTTCTCATACAATCATTTTTCTTGTCACCCAATTCCTGTGCTTGCCTCATAGTATCAGTTGCCTGGACTTGATAATATTCGGTGTGAACTTCTAAACTGTGATTTAAGATTCCATTTCTTCCCCTCTATTTGTCTGTACTCTTTGCAGATCATCCATACAACAACAACAAAATTACATTTCACGTCGGGAGGATGTCCCAAAGCGCATAAGATCGTTCACTTGATCCTTAGTCTCTTGGACTCTTTTCACCTGTTTATCCAGTTTCTTTCAACTCCATTTGCGCCTCTTTGAGCCCGATTTGAGTTTCTTTTAACTCCATTATATTAGTTTCTTTAAACTCTCTTATCTTTCTCTTCAATTAAAAAAGATTGCAAGGTTTTAACCCCTGCAGCTTTAGTTTGGTTAGTTTCAACTACCTTTTATCTCTTAATTCTGCAAAAATTCATCCATACGTTTCAATTGGAGTGTCACTTATTCGTGCCTCCGTAGAAAGCTCCTCGTGTTTGGGTAATCTTTTCTCCACATTTTTTCATTGAATCTTCCATGTTTTTAGAATACTTTTCTAATCTTCTAATTTTACTGTTATTTAGTTCAATTGACTACCTTTTTTTAAAATATATAATTTGTATTTGTCAAACTTCAACACGAGGGTCCCCATTCGGGCACCAATTTGTAAGATGTCCTTTTTAACCTTGTAATGATGTGAAAACTGACGCAAATCTGATATTTTAAAAAAAGCTGTTTATTAATTCAGATTAATAATAGTTAAAATAGTACAACAGAATAATGCTTACGTATCCACGCTCAGTTCACAACGATTAAGGTTGGCCAAACCAAATGTTGTGGAAGAGATGGAGGAGTAATGTCTGATTTAATCCACCAAAAGGTATTGTGAAGTCCTGTAGCTTAGTGGTTAGAGCACTCGCTTTGCAAGCGAGAGACCTGAGTTCAATTCCAGGCAGAGGGTGAAACCTTGGGCAAGTTTCCTTACTCCACACAGAGCCTAATAATAATCCCTCCAAAAACCAAAAAAAAATAAATAAATTGGTCATTTTCAATCTACGACTGTTTGTGGGACATTGCTGTGCGCAATTGGCTGCCGCGTTCGCCCACAAATATACAGTCAATTCACTTCACAGTGTGTTCTGTGAAGCGCTTTGGGATGTCCTCCCGACGTGAAAAGCGCTATAATAAATGCAAGGATTATTATTATTATTATTATCCAGATGCTGCTGTACCATTGCCGACTGGAGAGCGTCGATAAAGTTGTTGATAGTCGTCTAAGTCTTAGTCTTCCTTCTTTCGAAGCTTGCATATGGTTCGCGACTCCAAGTTCCAACTCTCTGTCTTTTCTGATTCTCTTCCCGAATCAATCTCTTTATCCAGTTGGTAGATGACCTTTCACCTACTTGGTGCTTTACAAATGTAATTTTGTGCTGTATTGTACTTCATGTGCGCCGACACCATCAGCATCCAAGGCTGCACTCTCCACCTCTCAAAGCCATCAGGAACCTCGGCGTTCTGTTCGACACTGAGCTGTCCTTTCTCCCTCATATCTGCGCCACAACTGGCACCGCCTTCCATCACCTCTGGAACATCGCCAGACTACGCCATTACCTCACCCCTCACGCGGCTGAAACCCTGGTTCACGCCTTTGTCACCTCAAGGCTGGACTATGGGAACTCTCTCCTCGCCGGCCTTCCCGGCCCTCCCTCCACACTGCAGGTCATTCAGAACTCTGCAGCTCGTGTACTGTCCCGCACCAGACACCGCGACCACATCACTCCCACCCTCGCTCGCCTCCACTGGCTCCCCATCCCCCAGAGGATCGAATTCAAGATCCTCATCCTCACCTACAAGGCCATTCACGGCCTCGCTCCCTCCTACCTCTCTGACCTACTATCCCCCTACCTACCTGCCCGTACACTCAGTTCCTCCGGCTCTGGTCTGCTCCACGTCCCCCGCCCCAAACGCCCTACCATCGGTGGTCGGGCCTTCAGCCTCTCAGCCCCGAGGCTCTGGAACTCCATCCCCCAGTGCCTTCGCCGCCTCCTCCCTTTCCTCCTTCAAGGCCGGTCTCAAAACCTTTCTCTTTGACCGTGCCTTCAGCTCCCCTCTCGACTCTCTTCCCCCTCCTCGCTCCCTCCCTTCCCTCCCCTCACCCTGACCATTTCCCCCCTCCTCGCTCCCTCCCTTCCCTCCCCTCACCCTGACCATTTCCCCCCTGCTCGGGTCATGACCCAACTGTGCAGCGCCTTGGGATGTCCTCCTGACGTGAAAGGCGCTTTATAAATGGAATCTTGTTGTTGTTGTTGTTGTTCATCTTTTGCAAAGATGATTCCTTTGTCTCTCGTATTTTCTATGAAAGAAAATGGATAAGCCCCCACTCTGCTCAAGCTCTTAGTGACCTTGAGCAGGCTGTTTTCCCATGAGGAAGGAAATGGGCTAAAGAGAGATAGCCAACTTTTTGTTTTCTTTTTGCCTTATCCAACCTATGTGTTTCTCAGGCTTGAGATACGCAGGTGTCTGAGGGAGCTTGCAGCCATTTCTTTTGGTCTTTTATTCTCACAGGAGTGAACATCTTCCCAGGAAAATATGAAACATAATCAGAAGCTGACCATAACCGTTCCAGCAAAGATACTTTTAACCCCTGCTAAGCTAGTCATAAAATCAAACCAACCTTATTAAAGGATTATAGGTAGGTTACATTCTAAAAGTATTTAAAACCTTAAAAAAAATCAACCATCACAAGTATAATTTCAGATAATATTTAACACATTCGTTATAGAATCCTTACAAAAGTGAAAGGAAAATAGATTTCCTTTTGCTCATGAATACAAACCTCTTAAGGTACAGTCACAGGTGTATTAAAGATGTTTGTGAAAATGTTTTTCCTGGTTCTGATTCTCCAAGTAGAGTCGATCATTTCATACCATGCTTGGTGCTTTTAAACCTAGATGCAAAGTGTTGCTCTTGTTAACAGTAGTTTCCCATCTTGGATCCACAGGAAAAACAGATTACTCCGCATTGTGGATCTTACAGGATTCCCGGATGATGGTGACAATCAAGATGAAGACACCATTAGCCAATGGTCCCGGTCTGTGGCTCTGGCCAAAGCCTGCATTGAAGTGTCTAGGACGAGCAAGAGGGAGGAATATAATTCATCCAAACGGAGGAAGGGGAAGGGAGGTGTCCCAATGAAGGGTTCCTGCGACTCTCAAATGTGTGTCAATATCCATGCCAACCTCTTCATCACCAGCCATTCCTACGGGACAGTGAAAGATGCCCTGCATCTGAGCCAAACCTTCCCCTTGTGTCTGAAGTGCCGAGTCCTACGAGTAGAAGAGTTATCAGTGAAGAAGACCATCAGCATTTTGGAGCTCTTGGATCCCATGGTTCTCCGGAAGATTGAGTTGAGATACAACAATCTGGGTCTCTGTTGCCTGAGTACCGTGTTCCCATACATCCCGCGCTTTGTGAACCTCAATAGCCTCAAACTGCCCTACAGTAATATCGACGTCAGGTACATGACCCTGGAGGTAGAAGAGTTTTTCCAGAAAATGGTCTCGGTTCTCAGTCAACTGCCCAACCTGAAGGAGCTGAACCTGGTGTCCTCTAGGCTATCTGGAAGGATCCGGGAACTGCTGAGGTAAGTGGTTAGTGAGTCTCTGTCGGAGCTTAGCTTCATTTATGCACTTTCACCCATGGCGGTATGGAATCGCCAGACCCTCCAGTCTGTGAACTTGCTGCATTAACAACAGAGAAAGACATACAGACATTCCTACCTCTCACTCTCTGATTCCTGTCAGTCCAAAGTATCCTCCACATTAGTCTCTTGGTTAAGAGCACTCAGGTTCCATTTGCAGGTAATAATAATCCTTGCATTTGATATAGCGCTTTTCACGTCGGGAGGACGTCCCAAAGCGCTTCACAGAACACACTGTAAAGTGAATTGACTGTATATTTGTGGGCGAACGCGGCAGCCAATTGCGCACAGCAATGTCCCACAAACAGTCGTAGATTGAAAATGACCAATTTTTTTTTTTATTGTTTTTTGATTTTTTTGGAAGGATTATTATTATCTTGTTGATACTCGTCAACAAGGTGATGTCTCACCACTGTAATCATAGACAGACTGCAGACAGGTAGGGTGAAACTTTAGGCAAGTTTCCTTATTCCATACGCCTCTGTTTACCCAGCAATAAGTAGGAACCCGGTTGTTAGTCGATATCAATTGGCAGATCCATTTTCAGGGGTAATAATCCCTCCCAAAAAATAATAAAAGTTTAGTCACTTAAATTAAGACTGTATGTGGGACATTGCTGTGCGAAATTGGCTGCCGTGTTTCGCCTACAAATTACACAGTCACTCCACTCCAGTATATCCTGTGAAGCGCTTTGAGACATCTCAACAATGTGATAGGATATATCAAATGCAAGGATTATTCTTAAATATTATCAGCATGCAAAGCTTTCAATGTGTGTGTCCAGCATGTCTAATGTAAAATGAATTTGTTTCTAAACAGTGTCTTGCAACAACCTCTGGAAAGCTTGGAGCTCGCCTACTGTTTCCTTCTGCCAGCTGATGTAACGTACTTGGCCAGTAGCCACCATGCAGCCACCTTGAAGAAGTTGGACGTGAGCGGCAACAATCTGTCTGATGTTCTGCTAAACCCATTCTGCCAGTTACTGCAGCAAGCCTCCAACTCGCTTATCTATCTGGACATCATGGAGTGCCGGGTGATGGACCGCCAACTGTCTGCGTTCCTACCTGCGCTCAGGCAGTGCTCTCAGCTCCAGTACTTCAGTTGCTTCTGTAACCCCATCTCCAGCGAAGGCTTGAAGTCCCTGCTTCACTGTGTCGTGGAGCTGCCCAACCTCAAGGTTGTCGTACACCCCAATCCCGTTGATTGCTATGAAGAGGGACTGCCTTGGCCGCCGTCCACCTACGATCTGATTGATTACAGTGTTGACCAGGAAAAGCTGAGCAGGGTTGATGCTGAACTGAATGAAATCCGTCTCAATGCGGTTCGGACTGATATTGTCACAACAGTTAAACTATACAATATAGAGTGGTACTGAAGTGTCCCCCATTCACAACTGAAACAGCTTGTATTAAATGCGTTTGAGACAGGAATGACCAATTTTTAAATGAATTGATTTTCCAAGTTCACTCTTGCACAATAGATTGTTAGATGGATGTAGCCATTAGAACATATACGAGTAACATGTTCAATATTGCTTTGTTCGAAAGCTTTAAAGTTGTAATAAATATTTTTGAGATCTTATCATTTTTACTATCCTTTTAGAAAAGCAAGGAAGAACATACATTGTGACAGTGCCTTATCACATCGTAGGACTCAATGCACTTCAGAATAGTTTGTGTCAAGTGTTGTGACTGTTGGCAACAATAAGCCACTCTGCCTAGAGAAGAAGGTCAGAGGTTATAGTAAAATATCATTGACAATTGGTTAGTTTTTAAATAAGTTCTTTTCTCAGGAGTGTTTTAGGGGGTCTTGAAGCTGATCAGAGGTGTATTGGAGTTTACGAAGAGCTTGGAAATAGTGGATAATTCGGTGCGGCTTTGTTGAGCTTTCTCTGTATAACAATTTGTATTTATGTGGCATCTTTGACAAAACGAGATTGATTAGAAATTAAGTCAGTGTTGTTATTGAGGCAAAACCTTGAGATGAGCAGTCAATTTATTTCAAAAAGAAATTTGGATGAGAGAAAATTCCATGCTTTTTTGAATGGGGGATGGGGGGGTCTGGGAGAAAGAGATGCTTATGGCTGTTTGAATCGCATGGCAGGCTGAACATTAATTAATCATAATCAAAAGGGGATGATCAAGAAATAAAAATATAGAATATTGATTGAGGTAAATATCTCAACGATTGACCATATTTTATACATTGAAGGACTTCCCAAGTTCACAATGTTTTGAATGAATATCCTGCAGTCTTCTGATGATTTGACTCAGGTGCCTTGAGTGGATCATTAAATGAAAAGTGTACTTTTCATCTCCCCCATTCTTGTCTGACTCCACTGGCTCCCTATTCTTCAGAAGATCCAGTTCAAGATCCTGTCCTCACCTACAAAGCCCTCCATGGCCTCACCCCACCCTACCTCTGCAACATCCTAACCCCCTACCAACTCGCCCGCTCCCTAAGCTCAGCCGGCTCTGGCTGCTCCATGTCCTCCGCCCCACCATTGGCGGGAGAGCCTTCAGCCACTCTACCCCCAACCTCTAATTGGATCCCCCAGTCACTCCACCTCGCCCCCTCCTTAGCCTCCTTCAAGTCCCGCCTCAAAACCCTCCTCTTCGACCATGCCATCGGCCACCTCCCTTCCCCTCCCCTCCCTTCTCCACCCTTGACCCCAGCTCAGGTCTGAAATGCTATACACTGGGAGACCTTGGGATGTCCTCCCAACGTGAAAGGCGCTATACAAATGTGAGCACTCGCTTTGCAAGCGAGACACCTGGGTTCAATTCCAGGCAGGGCAAAACTTTGGGCAAGTCTCCTTACTCCACACGCCTAATAATAATCCCTCCAAAAAACAAAACAATAATAAAAAATGGGTCATTTTCAATCCACGACTGTTTGTGGGACGCTGCTGTGCGCAATTGGCTGCCGCGTTCGCCCCCAGTCTATTCTGTGAAACGCTTTGAGACGTTGAGGTCATAAAAAGCATCTTATCAAATGCAAAGATTATTATTATAATCTTTTTGTTGTTCAGGAAAACAAAAATGCTTTTCGGGATGTAAACATAGGCAAGTCACACACAGTAATGTCCCTCAAACAGCCACAAATACTTTTATTTGGGGGATTGTTGGGCAGGACATCAGGAGAAACTCCCTTCTCTTTTCAAATAGTGGAGTCCTGTAGCTCAGTGGTTAGAGCACTCGCTTTGCAAGTGAGAGACCTGAGTTCAATCCCAGGCAGAGGGTGAAACCTTGGGCAAGTTTCCTTACTCCACACAGAGCCTAATAATAATCCCTCCAAAACCAAAAACAATAATAAATTGGTCATTTTCAATCTACGACTGTTTGTGGGACATTGCTGTGCGCAATTGGCTGCCGCGTTCGCCCACAAATATACAGTCAATTCACTTTACAGTGTGTTCTGTGAAGCGCTTTGGGACGACCTCCCGACGTGAAAAGCGCTATATCAAATGCAAGGATTATTATTATTATTAGTGTCTTCACCTGAACAGAGACCTCGGTTTAACATCTCATCCGAAGGTGATCGAGGCTGCAGTTCAGGCCGCTCACCGCGAGGGGCGCTGTGTGTATATGTTAGTATACAGTTGGTGCCGCTCACCGCGAGGGGCGCTGTGGGTACGGGCGGGCGGCCGTTTGTGTCGCTCACCGCGAGGGGCGCTGTGGAGGCGGTGACGCCACGATCCGTTGAGCTGATCCCGGGGCGGGTCCTGTCCCGGTAACCAAGGCCCGTAACCAGGGAGTCTCAGCGCCGAGAGCGAGACACCGCCTCAATCTCTCCCTCACCCACTGCCGACACCAACACAGCAGGTAAGGGGCGGCCCGGGGGCCGGGGGGGGGGACTGTGCTCCCGCTGCCGGGACCCAGAGTGACGAGAGGCCGAGGCTCAGCGGGGCCTGAGCTCCTGCAGTCACTGCCCGGGGCTACAGGGTCACTCCCGGGTAAATACCCGTGTCACTGGGCACAGGGTGGTGTCTGGGTAAATACCCGTGTTACTGGGCACAGGTTGGTGTCTGGGTAAATACCCGTGTTACTGGGCACAGGGTGGTGTCTGGGTAAATACCCGTGTTACTGGGCACAGGTTGGTGTCTGGGTAAATACCCGTGTTGCTGGGCACAGGTTGGTGTCTGGGTAAATACCCGTGTTACTGGGCACAGGTTGGTGTCTGGGTAAATACCCGTGTTACTGGGCACGGGTTGGTATCTGGGTAAAATCATTAGATTCCTTGCTTTGATGTGCTGTTGCTGTTGATGTACTGTTGATGTGCTGTTGCTGTTGATGTGCTGTTGACGTACTGTTGATGTTGATGTGCTGTCCTGCAACACTGTGGTTACATCTAAAAATGCTTCCCAGGATTTTACTGTGAAGTGTAGCCTCTGTGTAACTGTAGGTGAGAGCTGCAGCCAATTTGCACAACAATGTCCCACAAACAGTCATCAACTGAGTGACCAGTTTTATTGGGCGATTGTCGGCCAGGACACCAGGAGAGACTCCCTCCTATGGGATCTTTAATATCCACTTGATCAGGCGGAACCTCAGTTTGACATATCATCTGAAGGATAATGCCTCTGACTATGCAGTTCCTGCCCCGCACTGCATTGGAGTCAGTCAGCCTAGAAAGCAGACTGGTTGGTAATGTTTTAGGAGGTCACAGAGGTAGGGAGGAGCAGGATCCTGGATGGCATTAAAGGTGAGGATGAGGATCTTGAACTCGATCCTTTGAAGGATCGGCTCACGGAGCTCAGTGAAATTTCTCGACATGCAAGCCCTGATATCAATAGGATTATTATTACTTGTTACTAAACACTGTTCTCTCTTGTTGTGATTGTGTGCTTGACTCTGCCCTGACCTGTACGTCTTTTTCTTCCCTTAGTGCAGCATCGATTAACCGCAAGATCAACGCAATCTGGGCTGGTAGTTTGGAAGGATGCATTCCCTTGTCTTCTTCTGCGCTCAGAAAGTCATCTCTGACCATGCCTCGACCCGTAAAGCCCTGGACTCCATCCCGCGTGAAATCTATCCGGTGCTCTTCAAAGCTGCTTTCCTCAACCTCCGGACCCTGGTGCTACGTGACCTGGTCCAGACGTGGCCATTTGCTGAGCTCAACTTCTCCAGCATCCTCAAAAAGTGCAAGCACTGCGACCGGGACATGATCCGAGAGAAGCCCAACAAGCAGTGCCTGCAAGCTGTGATCCTCGGGGTGAAGGATTACGTGATCAACGAGCTGCGACAGAACCGAAGCCTCACCAACAGGTACCCTGCTGTGGCCTTGCAGGTTGTCCCTCGTGCACTCTGTTCCACCATTGCTTTCAGTCACAGCACCCCGAAACTCAGGAACACTCTTCCTCTACGTGATGTGGGCTAAATAAATGCAAGTTGTTGTTGTGGGGAGCTTGCTCTCTTATCAGTGAGGTTCCAAGGGCAATATTGTTGCTCATATTCCGCTTCCCTGGAGCATCCTCAATGCCCGCTAATAAATTGAGTTTTTTTTTAATAAAGCTGAATCAGGGAAGTTCAGCTCCTAACATGGCAGGTCTAAGCCGAGGAGAAAGTGTGTGATGATGCAGCTGATGCAGCACTACCTCACCCCTCACGCTGCTGAAACTGGTCCATGCCTTTATCACCTCAAGGCTGGACTATGAGAACTCTCTCCTCGCCGGCCTTCCCGGCACCTCCCTCCACACTGCAGGTCATTCAGAACTCTGCAGCTCGTGTACTGTCCCGCACCAGACACCGTGACCACATCACCCCCACCCTCGCTCGCCTCCACTGGCTCCCCATCCCCCAGAGGATCGAATTCAAGATCCTCATCCTCACCTACAAGGCCATTCACGGCCTCGCTCCCTCCTACCTCTCCGACCTACTATCCCCTACCTACCTGCCCGTACCCTCCGTTCCTCTGGCTCCGGTCTGCTCCACATCCCCCGCCCCAACCGCCCTACCATCGGTGGCCTTCAGCCTCTCAGCCCCGAGGCTCTGGAACTCTATTCCCCAGTGCCTTCGCCGCCTCTTCCCTTTCCTCCTTCAAGGCCGGTCTCAAGACCTTTCTCTTTGACCGTGCCTTCAGCTCCCCTCTCGACTCTCTACCCCCTCCTCGTTCCCTCCCTTCCCTTCCCTCACCATTTCCCCCTTGCTCGGGTCCTGACCCAACCGTACAGCACCTTGGGACGTCCTCCCGACGTGAAAGGCGCTCAATAAATGGAATCTTGTTGTTGTTGTTTAAATAAAGAGAAATACTGAGGTTCCACCATCAGTGATCGGGCTTTCAGCCATTCTGCCTCCGCTCCCTGGAACTCCATTCCGGAGTCCTTTTGCCTCGCCTCTTCTCTCTCCTTCTTCAAGGTCCATCTTAAGATCTTCCTCTTGAATCGTATTGAATTATCTTCCCACCTATCTTCTCTCAAATCCAACCCCCAGCTCGGGTGCAAACCCTTGACTGTTGAGTGCCTTGGGACGTTCTTCCGACATGAAAGGCGCTATGTAAATGCAATTCGTTGTTGCTGCATCACTCGCAGTTTGTGCTGAGCAAACTGATCTCAATTGGAGAGGCAATTGGGTGCAATTGGAAGTGCTGTAGTTGAGTGCCTCTGGGTTAGGGAGGGGAAATTTCAGAGCTCAACTTAGCTTTTCTCTCGAGAGGTTTTAGATCGTGGTTCTCCGATCTTCCATGTCTGTCCATTAACCACGGAGAGACGGAGAAAAGCAGCTGCTTGCTGAAAATCATGTGTTTAATGGAGCTAGTCAAGACCCTTACTCATAACAGAGGAGGGAGAAGAGACAGAAGGGTTTTTAACTTTATTTCTGTTATTTTACAGAAAAACTAAAGCGTCAACATCAAAGTACAGGTACACATTTAGGTACAGAAAGATGTATTAATCTGTGCAATCAGAGAGACAGAAAGAGAGAGCAAGAAAGAAAATACAAAGAAATATGATGTTTTTTTTAAAAAAAGTTAAGTTGCAGGAGAGGAGAGATGAGGTGGAAGGTTCAAAAAAATAATTTATTATTATTTTACATTTTGTTATTATTCTGTGAAGCGCTTTGAGACGTCTGAATGACATGATAAAGCACTATATCAAGTGGAAGGATTATTATTCTACTATTTTACAGAAAAACAAAAGCAGCAGCTCCAAAGGACAGTTACAAGTCTTGGTACAGCAGCAAGAGGGCTTAATATGCTCGCTCAGATAGACAGAAAGGCACATGTGAAGTATTAGCACCTTAACCCACTCAACAGTTAACTAGCACTATCCCAGAGATTGTGTATCTCTAATTGTCCTTTGACAGCTCACCCTCTCGCTGCCATTAGTACCTTGTGACAGAGTGGACCCCTCCCTCAGCCTCTATAAAACCTGTGAGAGCTATTAATAATGATATTAATGTCTGAAATGCTGTACTTTGTTCAGCGCCTTGGGACATCCTCCCGACGTGAAAAGCGCTATACAAATGTAAACTACTTCTTGTTATTGCTGTTGATATAATAATGACTGCATTCAATATAAGGCCTTATCAAAGCCGTGAATTGTCTCAAAGGGCTTGACAGGATTTTCTACGTAGTGTGGATTTGTTATAAACTATCTTAAATTATGCCCCCCCAATTACTAATTCACCAACCAGTAGAAATAATTTCTCCCCATTAGCCTATTGGAACGCCTCATCATTTTAAAAACCTCTCATAATTTAAGCACCGCCGTCAGGTATCCTTTACTCCAGGAAAACAGCTGCAGTTATTCAAGTGTGTGTCCTGGTCTCATACTAATGAATCTTTGCATTCTCTAAAGGCTTTGACATCCTCCCTGCAGTGTAATGACCACAGCCAGATACAATACTTTAAGTGCAATCATATAAACTAATGATTTATATAATTTACCATTATCACTTTTGCTTTTATATTCCAAACCTCTATTTGTAGAACATAGGATTTCATTTGTTGTTCTTACAGCTTTGTCAACTTGCCCTCCCTGTAAAGATTTCTGTATTTAAACCCCTAGGTCTCTGCTCTTAATAATAATAATCCTTGCATTTGATATAGCGCTTTTCACGTCTTCTCGACGTCCCAAAGTGCTTCACAGAATATACTGTAAAGTGAATTGACTGTATATTTGTGGGCGAACGTGGTAGCCAGTTGCGCACAGCAATGTCCCACAAACAGTTGTGGGTTGAAAATGACCAATTTATTATTGTTTTGTTTTATTGGAGGGATTATTATTAGGCGTGTGGAGTAAGGAAACTTGCCCAAGGTTTCGCCCTGCCTGGAATTGAATTCAGGTCTCTCAATTTTGTATCATTTAATGTATATGTCTCCTTATTCTGTGTACAAAATTCCATCGGTACCCCAATGCTCACAATGGAGAGCCTTAGGCTTCTAGCTAAACTTTGCCTGTATTTTCCTGGAAAAGGCAAGCAGAGTGTATCTGTCCCCTTCCCTGGGGAATGCGGGGAGGAGGGGGGATGGGGAGAAATTCACTTCAATAAACTATTTTAACTAGATTACAGTGAGGGATTTCTGTGTGGGTTAGGCTCCATAAAACAGGATTTCCTCTCATCTTCGCATGAGGGAGAGAGGAATAGAAGTGTTTGGCAGGGACTAAGGAATGGGTGAAATATGAACTGAAGTTTTGTGGAGTATAAGCACCAGCATAGACTGTTTAGGCCGAGGGATCTGTTTCCGTACTGTACGTTCTTTGTAAATCTTTGTAAACTAGAAGTGAAAGGAAAATAGATTTCCTCTCGCTCATGAATACAAACCTTGTAAGGTACAGTCACGGGTGTATTAAGGACATTTGTGAAAATGTTTTTTCTGGTTCTGATTCTCCACGGTAGAGTTGATCGTTTTGTACTGTGTTTGGTGCTTTTAAATTGAGATCCAAAGTGCTGCTCTTGTTAACAGTAGTTTCCCATCTTGGATCCACAGGAAAAACAGATTACTCCACATTGTGGATCTTACAGGACTCCAGGACGATGGTGACAAACCAGACGAAGAAACCATTGGCCAATGGTCCCGGACCGTGGCTCTGGCCAAAGCCTGCATTGAGGTATCTAGGACTAGCAAGAGAGAGGAATATAATTCATCCAAACGGAGGAAGGGGAAGGGAGGTGTCCTGATGGAGGGTTCCTGCGACACTCAAATTTGTGTGAATATCCATGCCAACCTCTTCATCACCAGTAATTCCTACAGGACAGTGAAGGATGCCCTCCATCTGAGTAAAACTTTCCCCTTGTGTCTGAAGTGCCGAGATCTGCGAGCAGAAGAGTTATCAGTGAAGAAGACCATCAGCATCTTGGAGCTCTTGGATCCCATGGTTCTCCGGAAGATTGAGTTGAGATACAACAATCTGGGTCTCTGTTGCCTGAGTACCGTGTTCCCATTCATCCCGCGCTTCGTAAACCTCAATAGCCTCAAACTGCCCTACAGTAATATCGATGTCAGGTACATGACCCTGAAGATGGAAGAATCTTTCCAGAAAATTGTCTCGGTTCTCAGTCAACTGTCCAACCTGAAAGAGCTGAACCTGGTGTCCTCTAGGCTATCTGGAAGGATCCGTGAACTGCTGATGTAAGTGGTTAGTGAGTCAGTGCCTAGCTTCATTTATGCACTTTCACCCATGGCAGTATGGAATCACCAGACCCTCCATTCTGTGAACTTGCTGCTCAGTTAACAGCAGAGACATACAGGCATTCCTACTTTTCTCTCTGTTTCCTCTCAGTCCAAAGTATCCTCCACATTAGTCTCTTGGTTAAGAGCGCTCAGGTTCCATTTACAGGTAGGGTGAAACTTTAGGCAAGTTTCCTTATTTCACGTGCCTCTCTTTACCCAGCAGTAAGTAGGAACCCGGTTGTTAGTCAATATCAATTGGCGGATCATTTTCTAGGGGTAATAATCCCTCCAAAAAAATGTAATCACTGTCCCACCACTGTTTGTGTGACATTGCTGTGTGCAATTGGCTGCAGTGTTTCTCCTACAAATTACACAGTCACTCCACTCCAGTATATCCTGTGAAGCGTTTTGAGACATCTCAACAATGTGATAGGATATATCAAATGCAAGGATTATTCTTAAATAATCAGCCTTCAGCTCCCCTCTCGACTCTCTTCCCCCTCCTCGCTCCCTCCCCTCCCTCCCCTCACCATTTCCCCCCTCCTCGCTCCCTCCCCTCCCCCTGACCATTTCCCCCCTGCTCGGGTCATGACCCAACTGTGCAGCGCCTTGGGACGTCCTCCTGACGTGAAAGGCGCTTTATAAATGGAATCTTGTTGTTGTTGTTGTTGTTAAATATTATCAGCATGCAAGGCTTTCAATGTGTGTGTCCAGCATGTCTAATTTAAAATGAATTTGTTTCTAAACAGTGTCTTGCAACAACCTCTGGAAAGCTTGGAGCTCGCCTACTGTTTCCTTCTGCCAGCTGATGTAACGTACTTGGCCAGTAGCCACCATGCAGCCACCTTGAAGAAGTTGGACGTGAGCGGCAACAATCTGTCTGATGTTCTGCTAAACCCATTCTGCCAGTTACTGCAGCAAGCCTCCAACTCGCTTATCTATCTGGACATCATGGAGTGCCGGGTGATGGACCGCCAACTGTCTGCGTTCCTACCTGCGCTCAGGCAGTGCTCTCAGCTCCAGTACTTCAGTTGCTTCTGTAACCCCATCTCCAGCGAAGGCTTGAAGTCCCTGCTTCACTGTGTCGTGGAGCTGCCCAACCTCAAGGTTGTCGTACACCCCAATCCCGTTGATTGCTATGAAGAGGGACTGCCTTGGCCGCCGTCCACCTACGATCTGATTGATTACAGTGTTGACCAGGAAAAGCTGAGCAGGGTTGATGCTGAACTGAATGAAATCCGTCTCAATGCGGTTCGGACTGATATTGTCACAACAGTTAAACTATACAATATAGAGTGGTACTGAAGTGTCCCCCATTCACAACTGAAACAGCTTGTATTAAATGCGTTGAGACAGGAATGACCAATTTTTATATGAATTGTTTTTCCAAGTTAACTCTTGCAGTAAAGAAAATTAAACCAAAACACAGTTCATTTGGTTCAAATACACACGCTTGAGACTCCCCTACCCCCCCCCGTGCACGTACAAACAGCCTGAGATTGACCAGCTCCCTCTGGCCTGGCCAATACACATATCCCAGACTGCTTCCCCCCTCCCCCAGGTACAATCAAATCTGTTGGTATCATTGATCAGAAGACACACTTTAAAAAGAAACATTACATCACCAGTGTCTCCGTTCTTAATTTGTCTGGGTTAAACACGGAGGCAGCTCTCGCGGATTCACAGGGGACGAGGGAAGAATTGCTGATTTCTCTTTCCAGGCCACTCACTTTTCCAATCTGGTTTTGTGCCTTGGAAGAGAGGGTGGGCTGTACAAGAGCAATGGATTAAAACTCACATTTATTTTCAGGGCAAGTTTTAAGTTTTAAGAGTAAAGTTTTAAGAGTAAAATGTATGACTTACATGAAACTTTCAACTTCTCACCAGTTGGATGGATAATGCCAGACCAGAGTGCAGGGACATCTGTCTAATCTGAAGGGGGGGCAGGGGTTTCTCAATCTAATCTGTTCGGGAGCACTCATCTAGTTTGCGGAGTGCTGAACTCATCATTCTAGTCTGGAGGTGCAGTTGGGTGGGGAGTGGGGGGGGCAGTTAAGTGTGTGGGGTGGTAGGGTTGGGTGGGGGGGGGAGATAGTGTGTCATGTTTCCGTGCTGCCCATAGCACAGAAACCGCCCTGGTCAAGGTCTCCAATGACAACCTGACCATCTGTGACCAGGGCTCCCTCTGCCTCCTCGTCCTCCTCGACCTATCGGCAGCATTCGATACGGTCGACCACGCTATCCTCCTCCACCGCTTGTCCTCCCACCTCAACCTTCAAGGCCCTGTCCTTGAGTGGTTTAGGTCGTACCTCTCCCACCGTCTTCACTTTGTTTCCACAAACAGCTTTTCCTCCCCCCCCCCCCCCCCGCACTGTCTCGTGCGGTGTCCCTCAGGGCTCTGTCCTCGGTCCCCTCCTCTTCACCCTCTATATGCTCCCCCTCGATGACATCATCCGCAGACATGGGGTTAACGTCCACATGTATTCGGATGACCCCCAACTCTACCTTTCCTCCTCTACCCTCAACTCCACGACCCCCGATGTCCTGACAGCTGTCTGTCCGACATTGAGTCCTGGACGAGAGACAACTTTCTTCAGCTCAACGTGCGTAAAACTGAGGCCCTCCTGATTGGCTCACGTCAGCGCCTCCGCACCTCAGGCGCTGACACCATCAGCATCCAAGGCTGCACTCTCCACCTCTCAAAGCCATCAGGAACCTCGGGGTTCTGTTCGACCCTGAGCTGTCCTTTCTCCCTCATATCCGCGCCACAACTGGCACCGCCTTCCATCACCTCCGGGACATCGCCAGACTACGGTACTACCTCACCCCTCACGCGGCTGAAACTCTGGTCCACGCCTTTATCACCTCAAGGCTGGACTATGGGAACTCTCTCCTCGCCGGCCTTCCCGGCCCTCCCTCCACACTGCAGGTCATTCAGAACTCTGCAGCTCGTGTACTGTCCCGCACCAGACACCGCGACCACATCACTCCCACCCTCGCTCGCCTCCACTGGCTCCCCATCCCCCAGAGGATTGATTTCAAGATCCTCATCCTCACCTACAAGGCCATTCACGGCCTCGCTCCCTCCTACCTCTCCGACCTACTATCCCCCTACCTACCTGCCCGTACCCTCCGTTCCTCTGGCTCCGGTCTGCTCCACGTCCCCCGCCCCAACCGCCCTACCATCGGTGGTCGGGCCTTCAGCCTCTCAGCCCCGAGGCTCTGGAACTCTATCCCCCAGTGCCTTCGCCGCTTCCTCCCTTTCCTCCTTCAAGGCCGGTCTCAAAACCTTTCTCTTTGACCTTCAGCCTTCAGCTCCCCTCTCGACTCTCTACCCCCTCCTCTCTCCCTCCCTTCCCTCCCCTCACCTGACCATTTCCCCCCAATGCTTGGGTCCCGACCCAACTGTCCAGCGGCTTGGGACGTCCTCCCGACGTGAAAGGCACTCAATAAATGGAATCTTGTTGTTGTTGTGTGGGGGCCAGTGGGGGGGGGTAGTGTGTGTGGGGGGGTATGGGGGGGGTAGTGTGTGTGGGGGGGTAGTGTGTGTGGGGGGGTAGTGTGTGTGTGGGGGGGGGTAGTGTGTGTGTGGGGGGTAGTGTGTGTGGGGGGCTGTGTGTGTGGGGGGGGGTGTGTGTGGGGGGCAGTGTGTGTGGGGGTGTGGGGGTGGTAGTGTGTGTGGGGGGTGTGTGGGGGATAGTGTGTGTGGGGGGGTGTGGGGGGTAGTGTGGGTGGGGGGGGGTAGTGGGGTGTGGGGGGTAGTGGGGGTGTGGGGGGTAGTGTGTGTGGGGGATAGTGTATGTGGGGGGGTGTGGGGGGGTAGTGGGGGTGTGGGGGGGTGTGGGGGGGTAGTGGGGTGGGGGGGGTAGTGTGTGTGGGGGATAGTGTATGTGGGGTGGGGTGTGTGGGGGGTAGTGTGTGTGGGGGGTAGTGAGGGTAGTGGGTGTGTGTGGGGGGTAGTGAGGGTAGTGGGTGTGTGTGGGGGGTAGTGAGGGTAGTGGGTGTGTGTGGGGGGTAGTGGGGGTGGGTAGTGGGTGTGTGTGGGGGGTAGTGGGGGTGGGTAGTGGGTGTGTGTGGGGGGTAGTGGGGGTGGGTAGTGGGTGTGTGGGGGGGTGTGGGGGGGTAGTGTGTGTGGGGGGTAGTGAGGGTAGTGGGTGTGTGTGGGGGGTAGTGGGGGTGGGTAGTGGGTGTGTGTGGGGGGTAGTGGGGGTGGGTAGTGGGTGTGTGTGGGGGGTAGTGTGTGTGGGTAGTGGGTGTGTGTGGGGGGTAGTGGGTGTGGGTAGTGGGTGTGTGTGGGGGTAGTGGGAGTGGGTAGTGGGTGTGTGTGGGGGGGGTAGTGGGGGTGTGTGTGGGGGGTAGTGAGGGTAGTGGGTGTGTGTGGGGGTGGGGGTGTATGTGGGGGGGGGTAGTGGGGGGGTGGGGGTAGTGTGTGTGGGGGGGGTAGTGGGGGGGGTGGGGGGTAGTGTGTGTGGGGGGTGGGGGGTAGTGTGTGTGGGGGGGGGGTAGTGTGTGTGGGGGATAGTGTATGTGGGGGGGGTAGTGGGGATAGTGTATGTGGGGGGGGTAGTGGGGGTAGTGTGTGTGTGTGTGTGGGGGGGGGGTAGTGTGTGTGGGTGTGTGTGGGGGTAGTGGGGGGAGTAGTGTGTGTGGGTGTGTGTGGGGGGGTAGTGTGGGGGGGGGGTAGTGTGTGTGGGTGTGTGTGGGGGGGTAGTGTGTGTGGGGGTAGTGGGGGGAGTAGTGTGTTTGGGTGTGTGTGGGGGGTAGTGTGTGTGGGTGTGTGTGGGGGTAGTGGGGGGGGGTAGTGGGTGTGGGTGTGGGTAGTGGGGGTAGTGAGGGTAAGTGTGTGTGTGTGGGGGTGGGGTAGTGGGGGGGGTAGTGGGGGTGTGTGTGGGGTTAGTGGGGGGGGGTAGTGGGTGTGTGTGGGGGGGGTAGTGTGGGGGTGTGTGTGTGGGGTAGTGTGTGGGGGTAGTGGGGGGGTGTGGGGGGTAGTGTGTTTGTGTGGGGTGTGTGTGGGGGGTAGTGTGGGGGGGTAGTGAGGGTAAGTGGGTGTGTGTGGGGGTGGGGGTAGTGGGGGGGGTAGTGGGGGTGTGTGTGGGGGGGTAGTGGGGGGGTAGTGAGGGTAAGTGGGTGTGTGTGGGGGTGGGGGTAGTGGGGGGGGTAGTGGGGGTGTGTGTGGGGGGTAGTGGGGGGTAGTGAGGGTAAGTGGGTGTGTGTGGGGGTGGGGGTAGTGGGGGGGTCGCCGGGTGTTGGTTGAGGTGACGGTTGGGGCGGCGGCGGCTCGCGCTGCGGTCACGTGACTTGGCGTTGGCGGGAGTTTTGTTCTGGAAGTTTCCGGCCCCGCAATACAGCCTCGGCTCACAGTGACCGAGGGACCGTCTCCCCGACCCCGGGCAGGTGAGGCCTGGCTCACCCTCGACATCGGATGCCTCTTAACTCCATTTGTTTGTTCGCGGGCGGTCTGTGGGGGAGGTGCGTGTGTGTGGGGAGCTGTGTGTGGGGGGGGGCTGTGTGGGGGCTGTGTGTGGGGGGGGCTGTGTATGTGGGGGAGCTGTGTGGGGGGCTGTGTGTGTGGGGGGGAGCTGTGTGTGTGGGGAGCTGTGTGGGGGGGCTGTGTGGGGGGGCTGTGTGTGTGGGGGGGAGCTGTGTGTGTGGGGGGAGAGCTGTGTGGGGGGGGCTGTTAGTGTGTGAGGGCTGTGTGTGAGGGGGGGCTGTGTGTGGGGGGGAGCTGTCTGGGGGGGAGCTGTGTGAGGGGGGCTGTGTGTGGGGGGGAGCTGTCTGGGGGGGGAGCTGTGTGAGGGGGGCTGTGTGTGGGGGGGGGCTGTTAGTGTGTGAGGGCTGTGTGTGTGAGGAGGGCTGTGTGTGTGGGCGGGGGCTGTGTGTGGGGGGGGAGCTGTGTGTGTGAGGAGGGCTGTGGGGGGGGCTGTTAGTGTGTGAGGGCTGTGTGTGTGAGGGGGGCTGTGTGTGTGGGGGGGAGCTGTGTGTGTGGGGGGGCTGTGGGGGGGGCTGTTAGTGTGTGAGGGCTGTGTGTGTGAGGGGGGCTGTGTGTGTGGGGGGGGCTGTGTGTGGGGGGGCTGTTAGTGTGTGAGGGCTGTTAGTGTGTGGGGGGGCTGTGTGTGTGTGGGGGCTGTGTGTGTGGGGGGAGCTGTGTGTGGGGGGGGCTGTTAGTGTGTGAGGGCTGTTAGTGTGTGAGGGGGGCTGTGTGTGTGGGGGGGGCTGTGTGTGTGGGGGGCTGTGTGTGTGGGGGGGGCTGTGTGTGGGGGGGGCTGTTAGTGTGTGAGGGGCTGTTAGTGTGTGAGGGGGGCTGTGTGTGTGGGGGGGGCTGTGTGTGTGGGGCGGGAGCTGTCTGGGGGGGGAGCTGTGTGTGGGGGGGCTGTTAGTGTGTGAGGGCTGTGTGGGGGGGGGGGGGAGCAGTGTGGGTGTGTGTCTGGAGCGGGTGGGGGGGGGGTTAGTATGTGTGTTGTCAGCGGCGAGTGTCAGTGCGGGGAGATTTCACCGCCCCTCCCCCGCCCTGTGTTTTGTGCCAATGTATTCTATATATCTGTACGATATATATTAATGTACACGTTGTCTGTACCTCCCGACATGAAAGACTACACAAATGTAATTTTGTTGTTGTATCTGTGCAATAGTTTATGCAGTAAAACAAATGATTGGGTTAATTTCAAAGAAAAGAGACTAAAAATGAGAAATATGTACAGGGTGTTTACAAAGTCCTGTTACCCCGTGGTTTTTTTTTACACAGTAGTGCACTGACCAACAGCTGAAACGTGTGGAACAATGATATATATTGTATTTAGAAGTACCTAATTGTATTCAGTACAAGGGTTTAACTTTTTGGGAGAGCCACTTTTTGGAACTGTTCCTTAAAATCCCAACGCACATTATCCATCGTCTTTCTGGTCCTCGGACATTCGTGCATCCACATCCATTTGCCAAAGCCCCTCATATGAGGAGCTGGATTAATAATAATCCTTGCATTTGATATAGCGCCTTATCACAGCTCCGAGATGTTGCAAAGTGCTTCACAGAATATGCAATAAAGTGAATTGACTGTTTTTTGGGTGAAATGAGGCAGCCAATTGCACACAGCAGTGTCCTCGGACATCCATGGCCCCGCGACCCGCAACATATTCCTCGATGGTATAGTTACTGGTATTAAACATTGTTGCACTCCACTCATCCGCAACAGAAAATAAAAATTAATTGTAATAAAGAATACAGTACAACACTCAGGGTTTCATGACCACGAAGCACTGTAATACGAAGTGCCCTTGTTGTAATGTGTGATCAGGTTTTATGCACCCAAATCTAAATTGACAACTGAAAGCAAATACTAGTGGAGTCCTGTAGCTCAGTGGTTAGAGCACTCGCTTTCAAGCGAGAGACCTGAGTTCAATTCCAGGCAGAGGGCGAAACCTTGGGCAAGTTTCCTTACTCCACACAGAGCCTAATAATAATCCCTCCAAAACCAAAAACAATAATAAATTGGTCATTTTCAATCCACAACTGTTTGTGGGACATTGCTGTGCGCAATTGGCTGCCGCGTTCACCCACAAATATACAGTCAATTCACTTTACAGTATATTCTGTGAAGCGCTTTGGGACGTCTAGAAGACGTAAAAAGCGCTATATCAAATGAAAGGATTATTATTATTTATTGCTCTGTCCACACAACTATATTGAGGTTGGTTAAAACCGAGCACCATGTCTGAAAAATATCTTCTTATGGGGGGTGGTGGGAGAGAAAATACAGTGGTTCTTTACTATCAGAACTGGCTAGGAGGAGGACATACTTGCCAATCTCACCTGAGGTACAGCAATCCAAGGTACTGGAGATATAAAAAAAATTGAAAGCCCTAAATGAATAGGGTTGCCTTTGCTGGACATGTAAACCTGTATGTTGCATGATTACTATTACAACACGGCTATGAAATATTCTGCATTTTTCTCTGTTGTATACTTATGCCTCTGAATTCACCTTTAAGATTTTGTGGTGGTTCTGTATATAGAAAAATGTTATTAAACCTGGATCTATGAATGACTAAATAACCTTTCAAATTGTCATTTGTGTACTTACCATAATGGACATGAAAGAAGACGGTTACAAAATGGACCGATACAATGAAATAAAAATTTTGCTGAAAAAGTGGGAGACCTCATTCTTTGAGGAGCACAAGAGGAAACCAAATAAGGTAATTGGACAGCATTGTGTCTGTTATAAATGGAATTTGCTGTTATAATTGGATGCTGACTCAAGTGATTGAATGAGGGTTTGTGTTCATGAAACAAAATCTGGTGGGTCTTTGCCCTTCATTTTGGGTTCTCAACAACACATTACTGTGCTTGTCAGAATCTTAGATGGTCTGTCCTATATGTAAGTTGAAAGCTTATTGTGTGGAATTATTGGCACTTATTTCCTTACAAATGGAGCTGTACATAATACACTGAGTGATATGGTGTATTTATACAGCACCCCTCATGCAGGGTAGCTTCCAAGCGCTTTGGGACGCTACCCTGTGAGGAGCACTGAGATATAGGGTTTTGGTACCCAGCTGATCAGGAACATTTTATTTGTTGTTCATTACAGTTGGTCTACAGTGGAGTTGGTATTAAGCTTCGGGTTACATGGTATTCGTGGGGTATTAAGTAAATTTGATCATATTTTGTAGGTATGATGCCACTGGGTAAATGTTTTTGTAAACTTTCAGTTTTCCTGCTTACCCTTTCTTCAGGTGGACATTGGCTGTGCTTCAGAGGAAACCCAGAGTGAGTTTGAATTAATCAAAGATCTTTCCTGACTGGAATGTGTGGTTTCCTGCACTTTTTGAGGGGGCAGTGGTGGTGGTTATGGGGGGGGGGAGAAATTACATATGTGTGAGTGAGGATGGGTCTGATTGGTGGGGGAGAGCGTTTCACACAGGAGTTGTCTGTTTCATCTATTTTATCCATTCCAATGCTGCCTGGGTTTTAAACTATCTGGAACGAGAGAGCTACCACTGTAAATTAGTACCAACAAAAATGATGGGTAGTTGCTCATGCACAAGGCTTCACCAGTAACATGCATGTCTTCAAATCTTAGAATTATACAGAGAGTACCGAGCCATCAAACAAGCTAAAGAGGAACCGAGTGGAGAGAATGATCAAAGTGCAACTTCAGATATCACGAGCAGAGACTCAGCCGATTCCACACAACACCACGACAAGGTAATTTATTTATGGATTGTCCCTTGTTTTTTATTTTTATTTTTCCTTTGATATCTTGCTCCGAAATCCCCTCGACGGCTATGATTCTCAAGGTTGTTCTTGTGCACCTCCATCTAGTTTACTGCGGAGTAACTTGCGATCAGTTCACCTGCCCTTTTTGCTGCAGACATGTGGCAGATTCAGGAGGAGGGAAAAACATACCAGCCTCTGCAATTTTAACTTATTCTTCTATTTTATAAGGTTCTGAGATCCCAAATGCTTTGTGGGGTGAAAGGACGTAGCTTAGACTATGCTTTTCCAGCTAATACTCGGAGTGTACTTACAGATCTGCAGCCCACCTTCTTGTTTTTATGCTTTCCTCTTTAGTCGGAGTGAGATTGAAACCATGTGGGTTTGAATCTGTTTTGCCAAAAGGTTGTACATTGAGCTGAATTTGAGGAAAACAAAAGTGTGTTCTAACTCATTGTCATTACATCCTGAACTATTGGGGCCTTTGTGATGACTGAACAGATGTTAAATACAGTTGTCATGTAAATCCAACTGTTTTGTATGATATGTGTCAGCCTGGCTCGGTTGGTAGCACTCACACCTCTGAATTAGAAGGTTGTGGGTTCACAGCCCACATCTGGACTTAATCTCCAGTGTAGTGTTGGGGGTCCATTGTCAAAAGTGCTGTCCTTTTTATGAAGTGCTTTAAGATATGCTCCTGATGCGAAAGACACTATACCAAATGCAAGAATTATCATTATTACATTCAGCTTGTGAATTCCTGATGAAATGTGAAATATTATTTATGGCTCTTGTTAACTGGAAAGTTGCTTTTTGATGGTTGGCTAGCAAGCAGGATTTTCAGCTCTGCTTGCCACATATGGTGTCACCCAGTTGTTTGTAATGGGGGGCAGGAGGGTGTTGAAGAAAATCAAATTTAAAACCGATGAGTAAATAGCTATTTCTGCTTTTAGGCTCCTGGATCTGATATTTGGGGATCACATCTAAATCGTGGGAACAGGACTGCTGAGAAGCTCTCATCAAAGCAGCACAATTCCATCACGGTATCAGCCCAGTATTACGGAATGAAATTGAAGACTAAGATTGGAGCGTCGGGAAAGGCAAGATTTTAATAATTATGCTACAAAATTCTGGAACACTCCTCTATCCTCCACCTTGCACCCTTCTTTCCGATTTCCTGTTCGCTCTGAAGACCTCCCTTTCGACCGTGCCTACGGTCACCTCCCCTCCGGTTTGGTATTTGTGTTCCGCCACTGTCAAGCGCTTTGGGACACTACCCTGCGTGAGGAGTGCTATATAAATACAAGTAGTTGTTGTTGAGAGTTTCTCTCAAGGCTATTAAGGAATATGGTAAAAAGCAGGGAAATGAAATTAAAAAGCAAAGAGCTTCTGGTAGATCCAGCTCACCAGACTAGACAACCTCTTACTGTCCCAATGAATTTTCTAATAAATGTTTTCATAAATGTTTATAAATCCAGTAAATGCTTCATTAATACATGTACAGAAGTTGAGTCCCCTTCATACAGGAAATCTATATGTGATTAGTCAGATTTGGCTAGCTTTTATTTTAAGTGTATCACTGGGACGAGGCCAGTGACAGGTTTCCAACAATCACTGAATACTAAATAAAATGTTGCTCTGTATCCAACCACGAGTATGTTGATGCTTATTTTTTTTCTAGGCAAAGTCCCTTTAGAGTTGTGGTTATAATTTAGATGTTGTTTGACCTTTCATTAATAGGAACGACCAATTTCTCTCCGCAAAACAATGACTCCTAGAAAGCCACAGATGTCCAGGGAGAGGCAGGACAATGAAATTGGCCAAGTTTCTGGAACAAGTCTAGTCACCTCAAACCCCTCAGACAGTCTAGAGATTGCAACCAAGGACTCAAACAATGAACCTGACCAACTGGATTTTCCATATCCAATGCAGAAGAGGGCGACTCCATCGAATGCATCTCATGCACGGATTCCTGGATCAGCTAGTAAACTTGAACAGTTGCGACAGAATGTAGTTAGAAGAATGTCCTCTATCGATCCTGGCTGGTTGGTTAGGTGTCAGGGCAATGTGCAGCCTGAAGCAGAGGTGATCATTTCAGGCATCTCTTTTCAACCAGCTCCGGGAAAGAAAAACAACAAATTTGATAATTCAGATCATAATAAACCTTTGCCCTTGTGTGACTCTGCATCTGGACCGGATGGGATTCTGGTGTCCTCAAGTGACATTGTTTCTGCAAACCATGGACGCTTTTGCCCATTGAGTAACTCTTCTACTTTAGCCAATGGCAAACTGTCATCGAAGGGGGACATCTCTTCAGAAACTAATTCTGATGAAATAAATTGCAATGAACAATTTTCTATTGACAGTAATCTGTCTGAAACTAGTTCACCAAAGCCTCGCCTTTCTCGGGTAAAATGTGATCCAGAAAAAAGTTTTCCTTTCAGAGAAAATGAAACAAATTGCAAATTGAATTTGGTTGGTATGGATTCTGGAACTGAGCAAAGGAAGCATTCATGTTGTGAAGTTTCCTCAGAAGACGCTTGTGATGAAGTAAAAGTAGATTTCAATACCACGTTGAGCGAATTGAAGAATGACTACGAAGATTCCATTGAAATAGTGAATTCCAAGAAAGGACCACTGAAGACAAAAATGAGTAATGGTAATAATAGCAGAAAGAGACCGAGAGAAATACGGGTAGGTATTGGAGAAGGCAAGGCGGCTTCCCCAGAACATGAAGGAAAGGCTAAAAAGCGCAGGAAGAGTATCAGATCTTCAGAGGCTTCTTCAACTCAGAAGCAGAAAAGGAAATCCACGGCTGCTTCAAAATCTGTGAACGATGTAAGTGATTCTTCAATCAATGAAGAACTGGACAAATCCAATTCTGAGATGCTGAGGGAAAATCTGTTTGGGGAATTGGAAGAGGAGAAACTGAATTCAGCGCCTAGAAAGAGTATAAGGTACGTACACACAGTAGTTAAAAGCTAGTGCAGTGGACTCAACAACAACTTGCATTTATATTGCGCCCTTCATGCGGGTTAGCCCTTAATTGATATGGTTCAACTTCAAAACCATTGCGATCTATTAACATCATACCAACCTATCTGCTCCTTCCGTTCGGCAGGCACTGACCTGCTCCATGTCCCGTCCAGCCCATCTGCCCCACCATTGACAGTTAGGTCTTCAGCCTTTCTGCCCCAACCTCTGGAACTCCATCCTGGAATCCCTTCACCTCACTCCCTCCCTCGCCTCCTTCAAGGCCCGTCTCAAGACCTTCCTCTTTGACCATGCCTTCGGCCATCCCCCATCTTCCCTGTTCTCCACCCCTCTTGATTCCAACCACCTTAACTATGCAGCATCTTGGGAAATCCTTCCAACATGAAAGGCGCTATATAAATGTAATTTTGTTGTTATAGAACAGTAATAAGCATCGTCACTGGCAGTTAATCTATTGTACTATTGCACTACTGGCATTATTGCAGTTTAGTCATGCATTGCATCAGAGATAACGATTGAATTACCATTGCTCAGGAAAGAATTTGCCACTGACTTCTTTGGGATTTGGTCGGTTTGAGCCCTGACAAATACATTTTGAATGCGTGTGCTTTAGGATTGCTCCCCCTAAAAAGGATGGAAATTTTGTAAGGATCAACCTGAAGAAGAAATCTCACGTCAGAGGAAATGTGTTGAAAGGAGCACAACTCCGCAAACAGGTACTGAATTTATTTGTAATGTAAAATAGTATCTTGATATTTATCATGTGTAGTAGAGAGCTCCTTATCTATACTACCTAGGGCTGGCCCCGTTGTGAATATGGAAATGCGTGGATAATTGGTCATCGTGCAAAATATAAAAAGTTATACTGATATTTTACCAACATCCTTTGAGAGCACACCTGTAATATTCTAGTTCAGAGTGGTCCAACTGGTGGGCCACGGACCGCATCCACGCCCCCCACCCCTCCATTTCATCTGGCCCACCCATTCCCTCCATAACCCATAAATGTTATGTTTCTGGAAGGGAAACACCAAAATATTGCTTAAGCGGCCCGCAGACATTTCTCAAAATAGGGCACCTGGCCCTCAGCAGCCAAAAGGTTGGACCACCCTGTTCTAGTTTATGTAGAATCTTCTAGTTTTGCAGTACTGATCCAGCACTGGGCTAGCTTAATGGGTTATTTTCATAACATAACATGTAGGAGCAGGAGTAGACCATTCGGCCCTTCGAGGCTGCCCCACCATTCAATCATGGCTGATCTTCTAATCTAACTCCAGCTAATGCTATAACCCTGCCTTATCCCCATAACCCTTAATCCCTTTTGCAATAAGAAATATATCTATCTCAGTCTTGAATATGTTCAAGGACTGAATGTCAATAGCCCTTTGGGGTAGAGAGTTCCTCATCTAGATCGTTGATGTAGATGGTAAATAGCTGAGGCCCAAGGACTGATCCTTGTGGTACTCCACTAGACACATCCCGCCAATCTGAAAAGGACCTGTTTATCCCTACTCTTTTTTTCGTATCCGTTAACCATTCCCCAATCCACGTTAATATGCTCCCCCCAATTCCATGGGCCCCTATCTTTTGGACTAACCTTTTATGCGGCACCTTATCGAATGCCTTCTGGAAGTCCAAATAGACCACATCCACTGATTCACCCTTATTTAGTTTACTGGAAATATCCTCAAAAAACTCTATGAGATTTGTCAAACATGACTTGTCTTTCGTAAAGCCATGTTGACTTGGCCTAATTATATTGTGCTCCTCTAAATACCGCACTACCACATCCTTAATCAATGATTCTAAAATTTTTCCTATCACTGATGTTAGACAAACTGGCCTAGAGTTCCCCATCTTTTCCTTTCCACCTTTTTTAAATAGTGGTGTGACATTTGCGATCTTCCAATCCATGGGGACTGTTCCAGAAACCAAGGAATTTTGGAAGATCAGACACAAGGCCTCCACTATCTCATAAACTACCTCTTTTAACCATCTTATTTTAATCATCTCCTTTTAACTATGCAAGCCAAAGCCCAAGTCCAGTGATCCTAGCTGGACCAGCCAGTCCTGGCAAAGGCAATCTATGCCATTTTTAGTTGGTTAAAATCCAGCAGTACCCCAATGCTCTTTTCTGGGGTCCCTAAACCTTGGCTCTCACCAACTTGTGTCTAATATTTTCTGGAGTTGGGGAAGCAGGCCGTGTTATTCCAAAGAGAGAGTGCGCATTCCATTCTAAATGCATGGAAATTTACATGCATGCAAATGGAGAATTCTCAGTCTGGTTTCATACTGTATGATACTCTTAAGCATGGTGATGGTTTTTTGAATATTGCAGGCGCATGACTGATCAAAAACAAAGTAAAATATCCAATGATGCTTCTGAATTATCTGAATGGTCATCGTGTTTATTATTTGTGTTTTTTAACTCAATTCTCATCACTGAATGTTTTATCATTTGAAGTGCTCTGTGAGGGGTGCTATACAAATACAAGTTGTTTGTTGCCTTCAATGGACAATGCTAAACATTTAGTAGTTTTACTAGAAGATATATTTTTTAAATACTCCTTTTAGTACTCTACAGTCAGTCTCGTGTTTGTTTTAGATATATCATGGTGTGTTGGTGCTATGTGCCCTGTACCATATCATCATACTTTAATTCTTGTTGTTTTATTCAAGGTGTGGAAACAGAAGTTGCAGATGAAGGGAGAGCGTTTTGGTGGTGGACGATTTAACAGGAGCGGAGACACATGTTTCCGTTGTGGTGGAACAGGCCACTGGGCCAAGGACTGCAGAGGTCAAGGTAAATACAGATGGCAGAAACCAAATAATTCTGTTTCTTTGAGAGGATATGAAGTAATCTTCTAAAATTTGTCAGGTAGCCTTAAAATAAAGCATCCGAAATCTTCCTTGCATTGCACCACTGGCCACATTCTGTGTATAATTCATTCCCAAGAGGCAGCTCATCATGACAAATCTGTGCAAAGACAAATGTTTTGATTGCAAGTACAGTACAAACAGAATCCATTTCTTAGTGTAGTTTATGTACACACTGGACCTACAGTGCAACTCGTTATTTAGACAATTGGGAGAGAGGGTGTATCATAAATTCTCCATTATTGATATGGTTCCTGTGTTATTAAAAGTGGCAAAGCAATATACATCAGAGTATTGCACGGTATGTTTCAAGGAGGCTGTTTAATAAGTTCCTTTCCTCAGGATTTGGTACTGTTCGATAACACTGTTTCATGTTTTTCCTCAGGATTCAAAGCAACGGGTGATGAGAATGCAAAAGGTTCAGCCCCTGAGGAGGAGGATATTGCTCCTTTACCTACCTTGGAAGAGGTGGCACGTTTAACATCCATGAGCTGCACCACATGGGGTAAGCCTTCCCGTCCTTCAGATGAGACATTAAACCAAGGTCCCGTCTGTTTGGGTAGATGTCAAAAATCCCATGACGCTATTCAAAAAGAGAAGAGTGTTTCTCCTGGTTTCCTGGCCAATAATCCCACAAATAAAATTGGTCATTCACTCCATAGCTATTTGTGGGAGATTGCCGTGTGCAAATTGGATGCCGCGTTTTCGCCCACAAAATACAACAACAACAACTTGGATTTATATAGCGCCCTCCACGCCGGATGGCATTTCAGAGCGCTTGACAGTAACGGATCCCGGACCAAGCCAGGGGGAGGGGGAGGAAGGTGAGCAAAGGCAAAAAAAATACACAGTTAATTCACATCCTATGAAGCAGTTTTAGATGTCTTGACATGATAAAGTCCTGTATCAAATGCAAGGATTATTATTTTTAAGCCTGGAGAGAGAGGCTCACTGAAGATAAATGAAATGCTGTGGATGTTAAGCATTGTGAAGAGGTGAATTAAAGTTGTGAATTGAGAAGCAAAGAGGAACCTCCTGTTTGATGTAGCTCAGTGAAGACACTAATAATAATCCTTGCATTTAATATAGCGCCTTATCACGTCATTGAGACGTCTCAACATGCTCCCAGAATATACTGTAAAGTGTATTGACTGTATTTTGTGGGCAAAACGCAGCAGCCAATTGTGCACAGCAATGTCTCACAAACAGTCATGGATTGAGTGACCATTCATTTATTTATTTATTTTGAGGTATTATTCCTGGAAAAAATCCATACATAGACTACCAACTGGGTTACTACTTACTGCTAGGTAAATAGAGACGTGTGGAGCAAGGTTTGTTTCCCCTGGGAATCGAACCCGGATCCTCTCACTTGTGAGGCGAGCATGCTAACCACTATGCTACAGGACTCCACAAATACATTTTATACAATGTGTAGCTTCCAACACAAAGCAGAGGTATGGTTTATAATGAGGTAATATTATATCCTGATTAACATATTTGTGGACTTTGAATGTCTTCATCAGTGTGTAAGTTTTAGTTATCTGTTCTTGGATTGCTTCTTTAAGACAGGAATCTAGCAAGTCAGAAAATTAAGTACTTTGCCCTATAATTACAGAATATGCATCCAAATTCTGAGATTGTGATCCACACACTATATTTTACCTCTGCTCCTACCTATGTCCAGGGAATATTTTCATATCTAATAGTTTGGTTGCAGGTGGCGTGGCTTCAGATGCTGCAGACGAGAGCTCTCATCAGCTTGAACATATCAAAGATGCTGAGGTTCTGATGAACAACATGCGTCCTGTGTACGAGCCTCCAGTTCCCCCATCCCCCATGGAGCCTCTGTACAGCCTCAGGGAAGACGGAAATATCCGAGGTATGCTGCCCTAACCAATAATAACTTGCATTTACGTAGCTTCCTTCATGTAAAATAACATTTTGGAGCAGTTCACACAGGGTCAGATGAAGTATTGTGACTAGGAGCATGCCAGAGCTGTGTAGATCTTCAGTATATTGTTGCTGTAGAATGCTACAGCTAGCTAAAATTCATAAGTACTAAATATATTTCAATGCATTGCTATAAAGAGCACCAAGTGGAAATAATCTGGTTCTATAAAAGTTATTTTAATCTGGATGGAGTTTGCCATTGTCTTGAGAGTGTTAAGCATCAGGACGTGTTGTGGATGTTAAGCAAAATTAGGCCTGTGTGAAGTTCTATGCTTTAAGATGCACAATGCATAATTATGTTTTATAATGCATAATGCTTAACATCCACAGCACTTCGTTCCAGTGTGAAAGGCGCTATACAAATGTATTGCTGTTGCTTCCCACTGTGTATTCTAGGATATGAGGTGCAGTGAATCTCTTCAAGGAAAAAGTAGACAGAAAACAAATATTCCTCTTGCACTTCAATTCAGATTTTTTTAAAAAATCCCTTACCAGATACACCACCAGAAGTGCATGAAGCCCTATTGGAGCTCGGCTACACATCATTCAGATCTGGACAGGAATTGGCAGTCATGAGAATTTTATCAGGTATGTCAAAGAAGTTGTGTTTCTGTACAATTCAGTGAGATTCAGTTGTGATTAGGTAGGCTGCATTAGGTAGATAACATATCGGCTTTCGAATAGTGCCATGGCTCTTGAATATCCACCTGAGATGGAATCTCAGTTTAACATTCCAGCCAAAAGATAGCACTTCCGACAACGCAGCACTTTCCACATATCTTAACTAACATAGTATTCACTTTCATAGAGCATAGCTCTTTATAAAATGTTCAGTGACTCAGCAGTCCAATATTTACTGACCTACAGTAACAGAGAATTGGGGCAAGTATCACTGATCATGGTTATAATGTACCTCCTCTCTGTTACTAAACAGTGCCTGATAACAGTTGATGTCAGAGGAACCAACCCGGGCCTCAACTTGGCTTAAGTGCTTTTTGTGAGGAATTATGAGATTCTGTTTACAAAGATTGTTCTGTGCTCCCTTTCCTTTAGGTCTATCTAGCTTGGTTGTTCTCTCCACTGGAATGGGGAAATCCTTGTGCTATCAGTTACCTGCATATTTGTATGCCAAAAGGTCGAAGTGCATCACCTTGGTAGTGTCTCCCCTTGTGTCGCTGATGGATGATCAGGTCTGTCTTGCTTCTAATGCCATAATGGGTTTGTTCACTGAGTGTTGTACCCTCTGTTCCTCTGGCTCCGGTCTGCTCCACATCCCCCGCCCCAACCGCCCTACCATCGGTGCCCGGACCTTCAGCCTCTCAGCCCCGAGGCTCTGGAACTCTATCCCCCAGTGTCTTCGCCGCTTCCTCCCTTTCCTCCTTCAAGGCCGGTCTCAAGACCTTTCTCTTTGACCGTGCCTTCAGCTCCCCTCTCGACTCTCTACCCGCTCCTCGCTCCCTCCCTTCCCTCCCCTCACCCTGACCATTTCCCCCCAATGCTCGGGTCCTGACTCAACTGTACAGCGCCTTGGGACGTCCTCCCGATGTGAAAGGCTCTCTATAAATGGAATCTTGTTGTTGTCTGCATTCTGGCAATTGGATGAAACCTTAGGCAAGTTTCCTTACTCCACTCATCTCTGTTTACCCAGCAGTAAGTAGGAACCCGGTTGTTAGTCGATTCGCGAATTGCTTTTCCGGGGGTAATAATGCCTTCAAAAAAAAAAGGATCACTCAATTCAATGTTTGTCGGGACATTGCTGTGCACAATTGGCTGCTGCATTTTGCCCACAAAATATAGTCAATTCACTATACAGTATATTTTGTGAAGCGCTTTGAGACATCTCGAAGACCTGATAAGGTGCTGTATCAAATGCAAGGATTATTATCGCCTACTAATATCTGAAAACTCCACTTAATCTGGTGATATTTGTGTGTTTTATTTTACATATTAATCGTGTTTCTTGTCTACAGGTGTCTGGGCTCCCTTCCAATCTGAAAGCAATTTGTGTACACTCCAATATGTCAAAGTCACAGAGAGAAGCTGCCATTGCTAAGGTCAAGTGCAGAGTTGATGTGATTGTGTGTAAAAGGTTGTAAGGTTCTCACTGAAGTTATCCTCGTTCAACATTCAAGTAGGAGCATAAGAATATGCAAGAGTGGAAAGGAACATTTTAGTCCATCTAAATGCCATTGCTCTATACGATCTTATACCCCATTCCCCACCACACTTTTCACCTTTGAGATTATTATTGTCAACCTCCTCTGCCTTTTTGGGAAAATGTTTCCATACATTCACCAGCTGTAAAGTAATTAAACCAACCATCTTGCACCTTCAGACGTTTAGCTGCCACTTGCTCCCCTGAAAACATCCTGCATGTCCACATGTTTGTTTTGCATTGCAAATTCTGCCAAAGCTATCATCGATGGCAGAGGTATTGAGGGTTAAATCGCCCACAGAATTTTGAAATTGCAGAATTATCTGAATGCCTGATTCAGGAAAGATACAAAAATGCTAACAAGAATGTCTACACTTATGCTGCAGCGGGAGGTTGCTGAGATTTGGGATAGTGGAGGCTTCCCTTTAGCTTAGTACTGTCCCTAGGTGCAGATACATCTATTCCATAGGAATGATAAAATCCATGGTAATTCAATTCAGATTTCTTCTAACCTGTAGTTAACTCTGGATTCTGCAGGTGAAAGCAGGAGAGGTACATGTGCTCCTGTTGTCTCCAGAAGCGCTTGTTGGTGGTGGCCGCGGTGGACCTAGCACTCTCCCCCCAGCCCATGAACTGCCACCGGTGGCCTTCGCTTGCATCGATGAAGCACACTGTGTCTCTGAGTGGTCTCACAATTTCAGACCATGTTACCTTCGACTGTGCAAGGTAAGAGGAGCTGGGCTGAGGGTGGAATCAGATAAGAGTCAACTATAGTATAAAGTCCCTAGAGGACTTGTATGTTGGTCCTAATATTTCTTAAAATAAATGTATTTGTCCTCCAATCAAGACATTGTAGTTACTGAGGCTCTTAGTGTGATTAGCACGTGCTTTGCTGATCCAGAACTTTTTGGTATTCACGAATACTTGTGAAGACAAATTCCTTCAGCTCCCCTCTTGACTCTCTACCCCCTCCTCGCTCCCTCCTTTCCCTCCCCTCACCCTGACCATCTCCCATCTCCCCCCTGCTCGGGCCCCGACCCAACTGTCCAGCGCCTTGGGACGTCCTCCCGACGTGAAAGGCGCTCTATAAATGAAATCTTGTTGTTGTTGTATACCCCCCATCTAGTTCAAAGTATATAGTAGAAAAGTAAATTAATGAATGGCCTTAGTGGGGTTACAGAGCTGCTCTCTCAGTTTAGTTAGTCAAAAACCTTTTATCTCATCTGCTGCGTAATTATAGGCTAATCCCTGATTAACTGTCAGAGTCAGATGGAGGGACTGCTCTCTCCTGATGGAGGGCTTTATCCCTTTTTCCTTCTGCAAGTTTATTGGTTTGGATTTTAGATTTCAAACGTAGATAGTTTGTACATTGGGTTTTGTCCTGTCCTTGGTGTACGGTGTGGCTTCTAGGAGGAAGATCCTGAATGTCTTGAACTTTTTACTCAGCTATGACAGTTTATCGGCTAATGTATCAGGATTTAGCCTGAATTAGGAACGTAATAAAAAGAGCTGGTAATTTAGTCTATTGAGCCTTCATTTTCCCATTTTATTAAATATTTTAGTCATGTTTGAAAAGTATGTTCCCATCTCTCCTCCAGATTCCTTAATGCCCTGGCTTATTATTATAATAATGAAAATCATCCTTATATTTGATATAGTGCCTTATCAGACTGAAAAGTGTCAAAGAGCTTCTCAGCAATTACTGTTGAGTGTGGTGATTATATTTGTAGGTGAACCTGACAGCCAATTTATGCACAGCAGAATCCTGCAAACAACTAGGAAGTGAAAGATCAATTTTAACTGGAGGATAGTAGGACAGGGCACCGGGAAAAACATCTTTCTCCTTTCAAATAGCACCATGGAATCTTTAACATCCACATGAACAGGCAGATGAGACGTTGGTTTAACAATGCAGTGCTCCCCAACATTATAACAAACCTTGCGTTTGAAATCCTTACCTTGCCTTATCACATCGTCGAGACGTCTCAAAGCGCTTCACAGAATTCACTGTAAAATGAATTGACTGTATTTTTGTGAGCGAAACATGACAGCCAATTGCACGCAGCAATGTCCCACAAACAGTCGTGGATTAAGTGACCACATTTTTTTTTAAGGGATTATTACCCCAAGAAAGTGATCGGCCAATCGACTAACAACTGGGTTCCAACTTATTGCTAGGTAAACAAAATGCAACTGATCAATAATAATAATAATCCTTGTATTTGATAGAGACCCTTATCACGTTGTTGGGACATCCAAAGCGCTTCACAGAATATAGTTTAAAGTGAATTGAGTGTATTTTGAGCGTCAGCCTACATCATGCACTAAAAGTCTCTGGCATGGGACTTGATCCCACAAACCTCCGAACCAGTGGCAAGAGTGTTACTGACTGAACCAAGCTGACACCTAAAGGGAGAGATGGGTCAATTTCTGCTGCTCTTTGAAAGATGCATTTTGTGTCCGGTCTTTAGGTCCTGAAGGAACGTTTGGGAGTGAAGTGTCTGTTGGGATTGACAGCCACCGCCACATTGGCAACGGCTCGTGACGTTGCACAACACTTCGGCATTAAGGAGGAAAAGGGAATAGCTGTGCGATCGGCAGATGTCCCAGAAAATCTATTCCTCAGTGTGTCTACAGACCAAGACCGGGACCAGGTAAAAAAAACCTTGACAGACTGAGGGTGATTTGTTGCTCAACATTATCAGAGTGGCCCACTTTGACGGCATTTTACTTTTTACAAAACAGAAAAGTGGTTACCATTGAACATGGCCCAAGTAGGTGACTGAGCATCATCTGATACTCCAAAATTCTCTTACTCCCATAGATTTTGTCAGTTTCCTCGTGTGCAGGTTCAAAGTCAGGAGTAGGTTCCTAAGTTCCCTTTTGTGGAACTGAGGAGATGTAAACTTGGAGAAGGAGAAAGTATATATTAATGGTGCTAGCTAAAGGAATGGTAATGCCTGTAATTTAGAGTCTCGCCTTCTTGTATTGGGTTCCAGATCTATATGGTACAATTTTTCCTGAGTCTTCTTATCCCTAGGCCTTGGTTACTTTGCTGCGAGGCGATCGCTTTGGTGCCCTAGATTCCATTATTGTCTACTGCACGAGGCGAGAGGAGACCACCCGCATTGCCGCACTGCTTCGGACGTGCCTACAGGGGGTGTCTGTGAAGGAACAACCAGTGGAACTGAACAAGAAGGAGGATACACCTGAAGAAATCCACAGTAAACGGAAGAAGGCCTTGAGTAAGTGGATGTCTAGCTCTGGGTCAGTGGGAGGGGCTGGTCAAGAAAACATCAATGTTGAAATGTAATGCTTATCGAAAGCTATTATACATGACATGCAAACTACATTTGTTTGAATGGTATTAATCCTTTATTTTGATAAAGTGACTTTTATCTAATTTATTTTTAAACTTCATTTAAATTTTGTCTACCAAATATGCAGTCAATTCACTTTACAGTATATTCTGTGAAGTGCTTTGAGATGTCTTGAAGACGTGATAAGGCGCTATATCAAATGCAAGGATTATTATTATTATAAACTTTTCTCTGACCTGCTTACTCCATACAGGAGTCCTGTTTAGAGCACTCGTCTTGCAAGCGAGTGACCTGGGCTCATTTCCCAGCAGGGTGGAAACTTCGACAAGTTTCCTTACTCTAGACGCCTGATAATACCTCAAAAAGATAATAATAATTTGATCAGTCAATCCACAACTGTTTATGGGACACTGCTGTACGCAATTGGCTGCCGCATTTCACCCACAAAATAATAAGTCAATTCACTTTACAGTAGATTCTGTGAAGCGCTTTGAGACATCTAGAAGACGTGAAAAGTGCTATATCAAATGCAAGGATTATTATATGTTATTATTAGACAGACCTGTCCTCTCTGTCCGCTCAGCGGGCTCTGGTCTGCTCCATGTCCCCTGACCATTGGCGGTCAGGCCTTCAGACTTTCTGCCCCTTTGGAATTCCATTCCGCAGTCCTCTGCCTCCTTCAAGGTCCATCTGCACACCATCCTCTTCAACCATGCCTTCATTCACCCTCCTACCCCTAACCTCCATGCCCTTCACCCCTCCTGAACCCAACCCCCAGTTCGAATGTTCATCCTTGACTGGAGCCGATTTAGATTTTACGTGGTCCAATTATCTGCGCTGTTTGCTTATCTGCAAGTTCAGAGAATTGGCTCCTTACCCTATCAAGTCAAGTTTTTCTTAAGTTTTTAGAAGTTCTAAAATAAACCTCAATGTTCACCAAATTGAAGGGCAATTTTTCCCTTCAAATTACAGTATCTCTGTTTTTGACACAAAAAATAGACTGCAAAATACCCATATTTTTAATTTGTGCATAAAATAAATGACTAATAGTCCTTTAACCATGTGTTGCGGTGTTTTTCCTGACATTTGGAGGAACGCCTAAACAATATTACTTGTTTATTAATTTTAAAACAGCTAAAAAGAAGATTCGTCAGCCGTTGAAGTGGATGGCAGATTCCTACCACGCAGGAATGTCAGCTGCTGAGCGAAGGAGAGTCCAAAACCACTTCATGAGCGGTCAGCTTCGTATTGTTGTGGCGACGGTGGCGTTCGGCATGGGACTGGATAAGTCTGATGTCCGAGGGATCATCCACTACAACATGCCGAAAGGTTTTGAGAACTATGTGCAAGAGATTGGTAGGGCGGGAAGGGATGGAAAGCCAGCTCATTGCCACCTCTTCTTAAACCGAGAGGTGAGGGGGTTGGAAGATATTCTTGTTAGTCGATTGGTGGATCGCTTTTCCGGGGATAGTAATCCCTCCAAAGTAAATTTTTTTAAAAAAATAATAATTTGGTCAATGTCAATCCACAACTATTTGTGGGACGCTGCTGTGTGCAAATGGTTGCCACGTTTCACCCACAAAATGCACAGTCAATTCACTTTACAATATATTCTGTGAAGTGCTTTAGACTTCTCAATGACGTGATAAGGCGCTATATCAAATACAAGGATTATTATTTTATTATATGTACTTTTTTNCTGTACTCTAGCCTCACAAGACCTTTGCATATACTGTAATGCACTTCCAAGGGTTAGGCTGATATGAGTGCAATGCAGGTTGTAGGGTTAGGTATACATTCTATTATGTTCTCACAACTCAAATGTAGAAATCACTGTTTTATTCTCAACTCTCAAAATCCAACAATATGACCCAAACCCCTTCAGTTAGTTTTCCTGCATCCTGCTTTATACATCCTGATCCCCTTTTACTGGCTCCCAGTTAATTGGTCATTTCTTCTTAAAGGGTATCCAAAACATTCTGGAGTTCTGCATAACTACCTGTGAGGGCCACAGACCTGCCTTTCAGCAAGTAAAGAATCCACGGTGGAACAAAAATACTGGAGCTAGATGGGATAATGGTCAGCTCTCTTTCCCCATTCCATATATTTTTAACTTCTATTGGGAAGAAACATTTTGCATTTTTCATAAATCTTCCATTGGGTTATATGATCCATTTTGCAGTGCATGCATTTTTTCTTTAAATCGATAAAGGTCATTTCTGGTGAATAAGATTCCCAATTTTATGCAACCGTTGTAGAAGTGAGTACCCACAGGTCAGAAATCCCATGAACTAGATACTTAATGAAAAGCAGCTGGCTAGAACCTACAAAGGGTTTGAACAGTTTCTCTGCCACCCTGCACCAAAGCCCTTTAGCATGTGAAATCTTAGCCGCAGTGGGACAGAATACAGGGTGAATCAAAAGTCCTTACTCCTAGGTCTATATGAGATGTTCAAAGTTCATGTCATGTAGATCTTTACACACATAAGCTCGGTGAATAAAAACGTTCACGAACGCAATGAATGCAAAAAAATCTCCTGCAGCTGTCTCTACCAATGTTGTTTTAAAGAACATCATTAATTAAAAACACTATGAGTAAGGATTTCTGATTCACCTTGTATGTTAATTGACTGTGTATCTGTTTCTGGTCAGGGTGGAGACATGAATGAGCTGCGACGACATATATATGCTGACACAGTCGATTATTTCACTGTCAAGAAACTGGTGCAAAATGCATTCCCTCCCTGCAAATGCCGTGAAATTCATCAGAAACAGCAGGACCTTATCAGTGTAAGTGACAGAAGAACAACTCTTGCATTAATGTAAACACAGATATGTTTTTCTGCTAAGTAAAACTCACAAGCAAGGGTCATAGATTCAAAATACAAGCAATGTGATTAGGAAATGCAGGACATTTTTGGTTAAAGAATAATTGGCATGTAGAACAAGATCTATAGGTACTCCTTATAATATGTGTTGAGGTCTTTTATGATCTTATAAGGAGCTATAGGAGTACAAGTTGTTTGTTTTCTGTCTTCCTAACACTAACAGTTTCTTGGATTCCTTTGAAGCTGCCTTCCTTTGCCAGGTATGATGGAGATAATGGTGACCTCCTCCCTCCCCCCGGCTTGGCATCAGGCTCCACTGTTAAGTGCTCCAAAACGCTGGCCTTCAATTTTTTTTAAAAAATGTGGTCACTCAATCCGTGACTGTTTGTGAGACATTGCTGTGTGTGCAATTGGCTGCCATGTTTCGCCCACAAAATATACAGTCAATCCACTTTACAATATATTCTGTGAAGTGCTTCGAGACGTCTCAACGACGTGATAAGGCGCTATATCAAATGCAATTTTTTTTCTCACCTCCAGTACACTTTGCTAACTCTACTCACCAGTCTACCCAACTCAACAAGCTGCAGACTATTCAAAATTCTGATGCTTGTTTCCTCTTCCGCACCAGATTCTGTAAGCCAATCCCCCTGTGCTCGCCCGGCTACTTGGGCTCCCCATCCCCCAAAGGATCGAGTTCAAGATGACTTTTAAAGCCCTCCACAGTCTTGCCCCGCCCTAACTTTCTGATCTTCATAAACCTTACCAATACCCCCTTTCTCTTGGCTCTGCAGGTACTGGCCTGCTTCATGTCCCCTACCCATACCACTCGGTCTTGCTTTTAGCCTTTTTACCAATACTCTGATTCCGTGCCGGAATTGCTTCACCTTGGCAGTTCCTTCAAGGTCCATTTCAAGACTTCTGTGCTTTTGGTCATCTTCCCACTCCCTACCCTTGGACCCTACCCTTCTTGTCTCCAACCCCCGGTTGGGTACAAACTCTTGATTGTCTGACGCCTTGGGACGTCCACAATATAAATGCAATTTGTTGTTGTTGTTACAACGGGGAGCTTTTGATTACCCATATCACATTTAATTCATATTTGTCACTGTATCCATTATGGTTTGCTATTTAACAGTTAAGATTTTCCTCAGCTCAAAACAATTGCAGTTTTCAACTAATGAATACTGCAGGGACATTCCATTGGATGCTGGATACCTCCCTTAGTGGATTGCTTTTATCTTTCTCTTCCCTCCATGTGATCCAGTGAAGTTAACAGCGTGTTGTATTCCTTCCATTGGCAGAGCGGGCATGTGGGAGATGATGAGATGATGCACATTCCTGACCCATCAGAGGAGCAGTTGCCTGAGAAGCCTGAGCCCGTTGAGGAATTCAATGCACTTTCTCCAAGAGTTTGCCAAACCCACGCCAGGGCCATGCCAATCCAGAGCACCATAGAAACACTAGACATCCGAGAGGAGGGTAACTAGTCGTAATGGGGGCAAGGGCAGAAAAACTCTCAGAGACCATGAGAAAGATTGGAGAGGTGCATCTTTTTGGGAAAAGGGAGGGAAAACGACTAGGATGATTTTTTATAAATGTTTCTGCTATACATTAATGGGAAATAAAAGTTGCTATGTAATCAGAGCTGAACTGGGAAGAGGTACCCATTGGCACTTGTGTGCAGTTGAAAACCTTATAGCAATGAGTGCTTTCAGCTCATACATTAGTACAGTATGTTGTGTAGAGAGTAGGCTCTTGCCTCTGAGTCGGAAGGTTGTGGGTTCAGATCCCGTGTCAGGACTTGAACTCACATAATCTGGGATAACACAACATATGCAGTGCTGGGGGGGTGTTGCGTTGTCAGAGGTGTGTCCTTCAGATGAGATGTTTAACCAAGGTCCCATCTGCCTATTCAGGTGGATATTAAAGATCCCATGGCACTATTTGAAAAGAGAAAGGAGATTCTCCCAGTGTCCTGATCAACAATCCCCAAATAATATTGGTCACTCCATGGTTGTTTGTGGGATGCTGCTGTGCCCATCTGGCTGCCGCGTTTTGCCCATAAATTAGTCAATCCATTTTATAGTATATCCTGTGAAGCACTTTGAGACGTCTCAACGACTTGTTAAGGCGCTATATCAAATGCAAGGATTATTGTTATGTATCATTATAACAGTGTGCAAAGAAAAGAACACCTTATGAACCTTGTTTAAATGCTCCCACTGTAATCCAATTTTTATGACGTTCTCCCAACCCCCATGTATTGATAGGTTGCATTATTTGCTGAGGTGCTTAATTTTTTGGCCTTTAATTGCAGGGATCGAGACCTTGCTGTGTTACTTGGAGCTCCACACCCAACATTGGGTGGAGTTGATGCATCCAACCCTGTCAACGTGCCGCCTGGTGTGTTACAGCGGACCCCCTCAGCTAAGACTCATAGCAAGGAGGTAGGTTTTGCTCCTGTAATATTTGGGCTGGAATTAGGCATTAAGGAATTTGGATGAGTAAGAAGATCGACCAGAATACTGGCCGAACTACCTTGCAAATAATACGATGAAATCAAGACGTGGAGCCCTGTAGTGTTAGAGCACACCTACCAAGCAAGTGGACCTGGGTTTGATTCCCGGGTAGGGAGAAACCCCTCTGTTTATCTAGCAGTAAGCAGGAATCTGGTTGTTATTCGATTGACTGATCGCTTTTCCGGGGTAATAATCCTTTAAAAAGTAATAATATTACTCAATCCGTGACTGCCCACAAAATATACAGTCAATTCAATTTACAGTATATTCTGTGAAGAGCTTTGAGAAGTCTGAATGATGTGATAAGGCGCTATATCAAATGCAAGTATTATTATTATATAACACTAACCAGAACTATAAAAACAGGCAGCCAGGTCCTTTGTTTAACATTTCCTAAGGGTATTGCCCAAAGGCAGCATCTCCACAAATGTTACCCTCCTATGGTGCTGTACTGAGCTGTCGTGGGAACAAAGAGTTCAGGTGCTAGTGTGGGGCTCAGACCTATAGTCTTCTGACCTAAATGTGAGAGCTGCTAATATCGATGTGTTTCAGGTCCCAACCCCTTTAAAGACGTTCAATGTCCATCTTTCTTTATTTGAAGGTGTCCCCCTGTGGCAGTGGCCATGGCCAAAGAGCGTTTGTCTGGAGTGGATCACACCCATTGCAGTTCACTGGAGTTTGACGTGGTGTCACTGGCGGACTCCATGGGATGGGAACTGATCCCGGTCAGACGGGAACTCAGGCAGCTCCAGTGGAACACAACGCAATTCAAACCAGGTGAGCTTTCCAGGGAGATTAATCTGAGTTCCCATAGAAATCCTATACAGGGAGGGAATCTGCTGGAAAATGCAAAGAAAGGGGTTTTGATGTGTTGTACTTCAATTTATTGATTGGGTAATAATAATAGTAATCCTTGCAATTGATCTAGCGCCTTATCATGTCGTTGACATGTCTCAAAGCGTATCATCGATTATATTGTAAAGTGGATTGACCTTATTTTGTGTGCGAAACACCCCAAAACGGTCAGGAGAGAACTGAATAACTGCTATGCTATTGAGATTCTAAACAATGGGTAGATGTACAAACCTTTGGAGTCTATGAACTGAGAATGAAGATATTGATTAGTTGTTTCATTTCTGTATTTTAACAAATGTAATTTTAATGTTTAAGTTGTTCTTACAATAATCCTTACATTTGATACAGCACCATGTTGCGTCATCAAAACATCTGAAAGAGCATTACAAGATTTACTGTAAAATATAGTGACTGTATTTGTAAGCAAATGCAGTAGGTAGCCAACTTGTACACAGCAGTGTCCCACAAACAGCCATGAAGTCAACGCCCAAACTATATTTGGGAGATTATTGGCCAGGACAGCAGGAGAAACTTCCTTCTCTTTTCGAATAGCGCCATGGGATCTTTAACATCCACCTGAACAGGCAGATGGGATCTCAGTTTAATATCTCTTCTAACAATACAACACACCCCAGCATGGCATTGAAGTGTCAACATAGACTACAAGGATTCAATGGAAGTGTCTTCTATCGGCGGCATTCGATACGGTCGACCACGCTATCCTCCTCCACCGCTTGTCCTCCCACCTCAACCTTCAAGGCCCTGTCCTTGCGTGGTTTAGGTCGTACCTCTCCCACCGTCTTCATTTTGTTTCCACAAACGGCTTTTCCTCCCCCCCCCCCCCCGCACTATCTCGTGTGGTGTCCCTCAGGGCTCTGTCCTCGGTCCCCTCCTCTTCACCCTCTATATGCTCCCCCTGTGGTGACATCATCCGCAGACATGGGGTTAACTTCCACATGTATGCGGATGACACCCAACTCTACCTTTCCTCCTCTACCCTCAACTCCACGACCCCCGATGTCCTGACAGCTGTCTGTCCGACATCGAGTCCTGGACGAGAGACAACTTTCTTCAGCTCAACGTGCGCAAAACTGAGGCCCTCCTGATTGGCTCACGTCAGCGCCTCCGCACCTCAGGCGCTGACAGCATCAGCATCCAAGGCTGCACTCTCCACCTCTCAAAGCCATCAGGAACCTCGGGTTCTGTTCGGCCCTGAGCTGTCCTTTCTCCCTCATATCCGCACCACAACTGGCACCGCCTTCCATCACCTCCGGAATATCGCCAGACTACGGCACTACCTCACCCCTCACGCCGCTGAAACTCTGGTCCACGCCTTTATCACCTCAAGGCTGGACTATGGGAACTCTCTCCTCGCCGGCCTTCCCGGCCCTCCCTCCACACTGCAGGTCATTCAGAACTCTGCAGCTCGTGTACAGTCCCACACCAGACACTGCGACCACATCACTCCCACCCTCGCTCGCCTCCACTGGCTCCCCATCCCCCAGAGGATCGATTTCAAGATCCTCATCCTCACCTACAAGGCCATTCACGGCCTTGCTCCCTCCTACCTCTCCGACCTACTATCCCCCTACCTACCTGCCCATACCCTCCGTTCCTCTGGCTCCGGTCTGCTCCACATCCCCCGCCCCAACCGCCCTACCATCGGTGGCCGAGCCTTCAGCCTCTCAGCCCCGAGGCTCTGGAACTCTATCCCCCAGTGCCTTCGCCGCTTCCTCCCTTTCCTCCTTCAAGGCCGGTCTCGAGACCTTTCTCTTTGACCGTGCCTCCAGCTCCCCTCTCAAGTCTCTACCCTCTCCTCGCCCCCTCCCTTCCCTCCCCCTTGACCATTTCCCCCCTCCTCGCCCCCTCCCTTCCTTCCCCTCACCCTCACCATTTCCCCCCTCCTCCCTCCCTTCCCTCCCCTCACCCTGTCTATTTACCCCCCTGCTCAGGTCCTGAATCAACTGTCCAGCGCCTTGGGATGTCCTACCGACGTGAAAGGCGCTCTATAAATGGAATCTTGTTGTTGTTGTTGAAGAATAAATTTATCAGACTCTGCCCCTTGAACAGGGAGAGAAAGTTTCATTTAATGTTGCTTTCCTCTGGCAGGTTTTCAGGGCACAGGGAAGAGTGGAGTCCTGGTGGAGTTCGATAACCTATCCTTTCACTTCCGATCTTACGGAGACCTTAGCTTCCAGGAACTGGATTCAGTGTGTGAATATCTGCACCAGCACATCCTGGCACGTGAGAAGACAGCACTACGCCGCCTCCAGGCTTGCTTTAAAGCATTTCAGAGGTGGGCACTGTCTGCACTATGAGATTAGTTATATTGGTGGCGTACAGTATGTCGAACATGCAATTTGATTTGGATACTCTAGGATAGATTTTTGCATGTGTCAGACACCCACCGCCCAAAACAAAATACTGGTGACATTGGCTGCAATGCGGGCTTTGTTATATGAGTCGTGTGGTCTAATAGAGATTGGTTAGTTACAGGGTGGCACTGTGTCAGTGTAGAGTGGGTTAGTTACAAGGTCAGTGCAGACCTGTTGGCTGAGCTTTTTTGCACTGAATTAATGATCAGTAATCCCATTGCTGGAATCCCGAGGATCCCAACAACAACAACAAAATTACATTTGTAAAGCGCCTTTCGTGTCGGGAGGACATCCCAAGGCGCTGGACAGATAGAGTTTCGGACCTGAGCTGGGGGATGTGAAAGTGCAGGCTCGGAGAGGCCTAATAACTGTCTCCTCCCCAGTGTGGCTTTTAGGAATTGCAGCTCATGCATGGATCACATTAACGTGGAGCGGAGCACACGTTTGAAGCAGCAGCTAAAGGAATATTTTGACCAGTGGGGTGACTCGGACAACAGCAAAAAAGACCTGGAGCAGGAAGGGGTGGAGGAGGAGGAGCTTGACAAACTAAAGGTTTGTGAAACCCTTCTTTGTATTGAGCTATTTGTGCATATTTCCATTAAAACTCAATTAGAAAGTTCAATTTGACATTGTGGTAAATGGAGCCCGTGTCCCAGACATTAAGTTTGTTTGTGTGTGTGTTCAGCTTCCCTATTGGTAAGTAGTCTGAAGACCCTCTCTGTCCACGCCTTTGGTCTACCCTCCTACTCTTACCCTCCCTGCCCCTCCCGATCCCAACCCTCTGCTGGGGTTCAAATCCCTGACTGTCCAGTGCCTTGGAATGTCCTCCCGATGTGAAAGGCGCTATACAAATGTAATGATGTTGCTGGGTGCAGAAAGGAAAGGGAGTGGGAATCGGGGAGGTTCAGATAATAATAATAATCCTTACATTTGATAATAGCGCCTTATCACGTTATCGCAACGTCCAAAAGTGCTTCACAGAATATACTGTAAAGTGAATTGTTCTTGTGGTTCAGTGGCCTGATGGAGGTCTCTCTCAGTCCTGGATTGGGCTCTGGAAGAGCTGAGGAAGATGATTCCCTCCATTTTGACAAACATCTGTGACTCAACGCAGCACCGGTTGGTCCCTGGCAACACAGCAGAGGCTGGAAACTCAGCAACACCTGTCCCCCATCAACAACAAATTACATTTGTAAAGAGCCTTTTACATCGGGAGGACATCCCAAGACGCTCGATAGTCAGGAACTTGGGCCCAAGCTGGGGGTTGGATTAGGAGGGAGGAGAGAGGTTGGAGGATAACTGAAGGTGTGCTGGAAACAACAGAACAGAAGTTGGAGACTGTCCCTAGCATCTGATCAATCTCACAGCAGAGATGCTGAATGTTAGGGAGGATTTAAAAAGTTGCAGCTAAAGGTTTGTGAAACCCTTCTGTGAGTAAGTGTGGAAAGTACCAGACATCACCCTTTTTACTCTGGACTTCTGTCTTTCAGTTGAAGGAATGGGAGAACACGATCCGAGCAGACATCCGACAGTTCCTGTCCATTCGTCATGATGAGAGATTCTCGGGCAGAGCTATCGCAAGAATATTTCATGGGATTGGTGAGACTCTGGCTTTACTCTTAAGACTTTAAAGAGACCATTTTTTTAATTCCCACAATTTGCAAAAGAGCAAAATATTAGAAATATGTGGTTCTTCCGGAGTGGGGTGTTTGTCAGAGGGGCAGCTTCATGTCATTGTGGAGTCCCGTAGCGTATTGGTGAGAGTACTCGTAAGCGAGAGAACCCAAGTTCGATTCCCAGGCTGGACGAAACCTTAGGCAAGTTTCCTTACTCCACACGCCCGTTTGCCTAATAGTAAGTAGGAACCCGGTTGTTAGGCGATTGGCAGATTGTTTTCTGGGGGATAATCCCTCCAGAATAATAATAATAATTTGGTCACTCAATCCACGACTGTTTGTGGGACACTGCTGTGCGCAAATGGCCGCCGCGTTTTGCCCACAAGATTTACAGTCAGTTCACTTCACAGTATATTCCGTGAAGAATATAGGTTTTTGGCAGAGATCGCAGGTTCTGGCGAAAATACCTCAACTTTGACTTCTCTTTGACCGAGCCTTCAGCTCCCCTCTCGACTCTCTTCCCCCTCCTCGCTCCCTCCCTTCCCTCCCCTCACCCTGACCATTTCCCCCCTCCTCGCTCCCTCCCTTCCCTCTGACCATTTCCCCCCTGCTCGGGTCCTGACCCAACTGTGCAGCGCCTTGGGACGTCCTCCTGACGTGAAAGGCGCTTTTTAAATGGAATCTTGTTGTTGTTGTTGAAGAGCTTTGAGACCCCTCGCAGACGTGATAAGCTGCTATATCGAGTGCAAGGATTTTTATTATTGTTATGTCTCACATAGTGCCTTTCTAATGTTGGGTCTCAAACCGATTCACATCATGTCACTCACTAAAACAACATTTTTTTTTATTTGCAGAAAGCCCATGTTACCCAGCTCAGGTTTTTGGCAGAGATCGCAGGTTCTGGCGAAAATACCTCAACTTTGACTTCAATGAAATAATACGACTAGCAACAGAGGAGATTATCAGAGTGAAGTAAATCATAGACTTGAGTTGTGTTTACCACAGCAGGTTTATCAGGAGCATTTGTCCATTGCCTGATAATTCCTTCACTTCCAGAGTTACATTACAGTACATACAGGAGTCCTGTGGCGTATTGGTTGGGTTTGATTCCCAGGCAGTGCAAAATGTTAGGCATTTTTGTTACTCCACACGCCTCTGTTTACCTAGCAGTGAGTAGTAACCCAGCTGTTAGTCAATTGGCGGATTGCTTTACCGTAATAATCCTTTCAAAAAAAAGTAATAATTTGATCACTGATTCTAGAACTTTGTGGGACACTGCTGTGCATAATTGGCTGCCGTGTTTCACCCACAAAATATAGAGTCAATTGCACTTTACAGTATATTCTGTGAAGTGTTTTGAAATGTTGCAACGTGATAAGGTGCTATATCAAATGTAAGGATTATTATTACTCTGGTGTGTTAAATTCCTCATTGGTCTGCGATCCAGAAACAATAGGTTTGAATCCGTTGCTGCTGCCTAGTAAACTGGTGATGTAACTGAATGGAATTGAAAGACTCCTCTTGTAAATCAATGGCTGCTGAAATATCTTATTGTCATTCAGTGGAATTGTAGCCTGCAGGACGGGCTGGCTGAGGCTCTGCTCATCAGCAAACACGTGTTTATTCAGTTCAAACTCCTTTTTTCTAGGTTGGAAGGAGGAAATTTGAGGGTAATTTTTCCCCATAGAGTCTAAGAGCAAAATTAGTGACATTGCTTAGAACTGTTCAGTGATCATGCCGTGCAACTGAACTGTTAATCCAGTCACCCCTTCACAATGCTGATTATTGAGAATCAAGTGATTTGTTGCCGTCTTTTGCCTTTGTCACCAATTATTATTATTATAATCCCACCCCAGGCCCAGCAGAAAGAATCTTGATTACAGCAGCAGCACTCACCGAGGCAGAGTGCAGGAGTCGCATCTCTTGTGTGGGACTGTATCTAAGATGGAGTCCACCTTGTGGAGACCTGTAGCTCAGTGGTTAGAGCCTCGCAAGCGAGAGACCTGGGTTCGATTCCCAGCAGGGAGAAACCTTGGGCAAGTTTCCTTACTCCACATGCCTGATAATAATCCCTCAAGAAAAAAAGCAATAATAAATTGGTCACTTCAGTCCACGACTGTTTGTGGGACACTGATGTGTGCAATTGGCTGCTGCGTTTCGCCCACAAATATACAGTCAATTCACTTTACAGCATATTCTGTGAAGCGCTTTGAGACGTCGAGAAGTCGTGAAAAGTGCTATATCAAATGCAAGGAATATTATAAGGTCTGGACTGATGCATTTCATCTTTTATGACATTTTTTATTAACTAGTGAATGATGGTCAATGTAAGATTTAACTCTGTACAGTACTTCTTTTAGTGAATTAAATTTTCTATAAAATGTTTTCTGGCTTTCTCTGCATGGAATTTTGGTTTTGGATCCTCTGAGGAAACATGGTGATGGGTTTCCATGTGTGTCAGACCCCCAGCTGACCAAAAACTATCGGAAGGGAAATTAAGTGGTTACACACTGACTTCCTGTAAATTCAGGAACTGGCTTTGGTTTTTAAAAAAAGAGGTCCCAATCTGTCACTGCTCTGCCCTGCGAGCGGCCTCAGAACCACACGGATTCACAGCACAGATCAAGACCATTTCAACTATGTTTGTGGCTGAGTGCTCCAAGACACCAACCCACATTAAAGGTGCTATATAACTGCAAGTTGCTTGTTTTGTTGCTGGCTCTTTGAAAGAGGAGTCCATTCTGTCCCATGTACCTGCCTTTACCCCCATGCCCTGCCAATTGCTCCTTTTCAGATATCCAAATAGTCCCTCTTGAAAGTTAATGTCAACTGCCTTACCCAGCAAGACATTTCACATACCACAATAACTCAAGAATCTTCCCCCGTTTGCTCCTTTGCTGACTATCTTAAATCGATGTTCTCGAGTCACTACCTCAACGACCAGTAGAAATAATTTCTCCCTATTGACTAACAAAGCTTTGATAATTTTAAAGACCTCTATCTGGTCTCCTCTCAACACTTGTACCAGTGAGAATAGTACTTCAAATCCATCTGTACCACTGCAAGGCTGAATATCTCTGAGCCCCGTGATCAGGTGTCATCAACTGCCTGTTCAAAAACTCAGCAAAACACATGCAATGTCACTGCGATGATCTCAACATCTCTTTCTCCACTTTCCCACAATAAATATATCGGGCAGTAACTGCAGAAATGGATGTCTTTATTTTTAAATTGAACATAATATTGCAATACTTTACACAGTTCAAACATAAATTTGTATCTTTCCTTAACTCCCCCTGAATCCACTCCCCCGCCACACACAGCCTCGGTGGGCAAGGGGGTGGGGGCCTAAATAAAGAGGGCAAGCTGCCAGGGGTTGGGGGAGTTGTGTCATTCAAAGCAACACTGGCAGGAAGCAAGAGATAAGGCCACATAACTTTCCCTTTAGTTGAGGTTTGGCCCAAAAGGAACAATGAGAATAATGATCCTTGCATTTGATACAGCACCTTATCACATCATTGAGACATTTCAAAGTGCTTCACGGGATACATTGGAAAGTAGATTTTGTGGCCGAAATTAAGAACTTGGTACACAGGCCCTGACCGGTGGTGATGAAGCGACTTACACAAAGCTGGTTAGGAACTCATTTGATCAGAAAGCTCTTTGAGATGTCTCAACGAGGTGATAAGGTGCTATATCAAATGCAAGGATAATTATTATTATTTCCCACACGGACAGTCACACCAAGTTACCTCAGGCGTAAGCAGCCACGCCACAAAGACATGACAGCAAATCTTACGACGTTCACCAAATACTCAATGATCAAACGCATTAAAATAAAATCTGCTTGCGTTTGATTAATTATCTAAATTATCAAAACTCAAAAGTGCTTTATAGGGGATTTCTGTAAGTGTGGTGACTATCTGTGAGCAAACAAGGCAGCTATTTTGCACACAGCAATGTCCCACAAAGAGTTTTGAAACACATGACCAATTTTATCTGGAGGATTGTTGGCCTGGACACCAGGAAAAACTCCCTTCTCTTTTAAAGTATCACAAGATTTCAACACCCATCCGATCAAGCAGATGAGTCGTTGGTTTAACTTCTTATTAGGAAGAACCACAACCTTCTGACTCAGAGGCAAAGGCACTACCAACTGAGCCTGGCCAACACCTAAATTGTATTGAGCAACCCAGGAACCAGCCTTACATTAAACACGATGGGCTCACCAAAATTACCATACGTGTGAGCTGAGCAACATGGCAAAAATTTACTGGATAGCTATCCCCCCACCCGTCACCTAGTTATACTACATTCGATATATAGAATAAGAATGCTTGCATTTAACAGCGGCTTATCACGTCTTCAAGACGTCTCAAAGCACTTCACAGAATATCCTGTAAACTGAATTGACTTTATTTTGTGGGCGAAACTCGGCAGCCAATTGTGCCCCAGCAGTGTCCCACAAACAGTCGTGGGAACAATTTTTATTTTTTTTATTTTATTTTTCTTTGAAGGGATTGTTATCCCAGGAAAAGCAAAACAACTGGTTTCCTATATTGCTCGGTAAATAGAGGCGTGTGGAATAAGGAAACTTGCCTAAGGCTTCGCCCTGCCTGGGAATCAAACCCAGGTCCTCACTTGTGAGGCGAGTGCTCTAACCAATCCGCTACAAGAGACTGGCATCTCCTTGCAGGCGAAAGAGGCAAAGGAGGCGAAAGGAAATCCCTGGAACAGCAGCAGCAGAATAATCTGGAAAAATTAACCATCTCACAGTATTGAGTGGAGCAAATGTCACAGTTCAGGGAATGGGAGTTAAGAAGGGAAAAGAGCAGAAGCCGAGATGAGAGAAGCGTCAATTTCTCAGGCAGGTGATCAAATATTGTGGGTAAGCCTGAGTGTCGTTGAAAATGACGAAGATGGTGGGATTCCTGCAGTCATCCACCACGCAATCGTAGCGGAGAGGCATGGTGGAGTCCTGCTTCAGAGGGGGAGCCTTCATCGAGCTTTCCCCTTTGGCGTACGCCCCGGTCAGAACGTTCACCACGAATATAAATTTATGCTTCTGTTCGTTGGGTGGGGAGTAGTTGTCCTGCGCTGACATGACAGCGTTGGTTGCAAAGTAGACACCCTGCCCGTAAAGCGTCGCTAGAACAGAATCAGATGGAACAAATCAGTATCAAAACAGTACATACGGTTTTTGGTGGAATCCTGTAATATAGTGGTTAGCACACTCGCCTCACAAGCCAAACGAGCTGGGTTTGATTCCTGCCAGGGCGGAACCTTAGGCAAGTTTCCTTACTCCACATACTTCTGTTTACCTTCCAGTAAGTTAGTCGATTTGGCAGATTGCATTCCCCCAAAAAATTGGTCACTCAATCCACAACAGTTTGTGGGACATTGCTGTGCATAATTCGCTGCCGCATTTCGCCCACAAGATAGTCAGTCCACTTTACAATATATCCTGTGAAGCGCTTTGAGATGTCTCAGTGACGTGCTAAGGCGCTATATCAAATGCAAAGATTATTATTCATTATTATTACAGTTCTTGGGTGGGTGTGTACTTGTGTGTGTACGGGTGTGGAAACCATTAACAACAGTGTCGGAGGAAAGAGGAGAAACAGAACTTACATTTTTCCAATACTTTATCATGCTGAAACATCTTAAACAATAATAATCCTTGCATTTGATATAGTGCCTTATCACATCGTTGAGAAGTCTCAAAGAGCTTCGCAGAATGCAGTGTAGAGTAAAGGAATGCAATCCGCCAATCGACTAACAACCGGGTTCCTACTTACTGCTAGGAAAACAGAGGTGTGTGGAGTAAGGAAACTTACACAAGGTTTTGCCCTGCAGGGAATCAAGCCCAGGTCCTCTTGTTTGCAAGGCGAGTGCTCTAACCAATATGCTACAGGTCTTAAAGTGCTTGACATGTAATCCACACTGGGCAGTGCTGCTTTCTGTATATTGATTTTTTTTAAAAAACACACAAAGTATGGTCCCACAAACCAATTCATCTCGAGGATGGTCAGGGAAGGCATTCTGAAAATAATACCATGGGATCTTTAACACCCATCTCAACAGATAGATGGGGCTTTGATTTATAACATCTCATTCCAAATAACAGCACGTCTAACAAGGCAGCAATCCCCCAGGACCTCACTGGAGAGTCAGCCGAGATGTTTTGAACCGAGGCCCCATCTATCCATTGAGGCGGGCGTTAAAAATCCCACAGTATTATTACGTTTTGTAATTGGCTTGAACTTCCTAATAATAATGATCCTTATTATTTCTGTTATTATTTATTATTATAATAATTATAATATTATTTCAAATTTCTTTTCCTGATCTCAGCCACAAATTGACACAGAAAACAGGCACAGGTGGAGGCCATTCAACCCATCGAACCAGTTTGACCAGTTCTTTAGATAATAATAATCCTTGCGTTTGATATGTAGCTCAGTGGTTAAAGCACTTGCCTCGCAATATATAATATCAATCCATGACTGCTTGTGGACACTGCTGTGCGCAATTGGCTGCCACATTTCTCCAACAAAATGTACAGTCAATTCACTTGTGAGGCGAGTGCTTTAACCAATATGCTACAGAACTCCAATATATACCAATCCTCCCTACCTCAAGAGACGTCCCATTCTCTTGAGAGATATATCAGTCCCTTGAGTGATACACACCAATCTCCTGAGATAGATACCCTCTTCCTCCCCCACCCCCAAGGGATACGTGAAGTCTCACCGTTCTTTCCACAGAAACTCCTGTTGAAGCCGTGAACGTAGATCTCTTTGGCGCTCTCTTCATTCGTGCCGTGGTAGAGGACTCGCTCAACGTTGGTCTGGCCCAACACGGCCTGCAGCTTGGCTTTCTTCAGCATGTACTGCTGGTACAGCAGTGGGTTATTCACCTTCTCCACCTGTGACCACAAAGCACACGGTCAGCACAATAATAATAACAATCCTTGAATTTTCTATAGCACTTTTCACGCCTTGGAGACGTCTCAAAGTGTTTCACAGAATATACTGTAAAGTGAACTGACTGTGTATTTGTGGGGAACACACGGCAGCCAATTGCGCACAGCAGTGTCCCCACAAACAGTTGTGGATTTAAGTGACCAATTTATTATTGTTTTTTTTCTTGAGGGATTATCATCAGGGGTGTGGAGTAAGGAAACTTGCCCAAGGTTTGGCCCTATCGGGAATCGAACCCAGGTCTCTCGCTTGTGAGGTGAGCTCTCTACCCACTGAGCTACAGGACTCCACGCTGGTATATCTCCGCTTGATAGAGCGCCTTATCACATCGTTGAGAAGTCTCAAAGCGCTTCATAGAACATACTGCAAAGTGAATTTCGCTCAATATTTTGGACAAATGTCAGCAGTCTCCCACAAACAGTGAACAAAACACAAGATACTGCGGACGCTGGATTCTGAAACAAAAACAGAGAGAACTGGGAAAACTCAGCAGGTCAGGCAGCATCTATGGAGAAAGGAAAGTGAGTCAACGTTTCGGGTCCAAAACTGATGATGGGTCGTGGACCCAAAACATTGACTCACTTTCCTTTCTCCATAGATGCTGCCCGACCTGCTGAGTTTTCCCAGTTCTCTCTGTTTTTGCCCCAGGCTTAACAAGGTGGTGAGTTCCACAGCTGTGCACACCTTCAAACTTAACGCTCCCTCCCCCAGCTCACATTCTCACAACGGTCATGTTTAGCTATGGGCCAGTTGAATTTCCATGTGTAGGCAGGAGGCATGGAATTCTCAGTTTGGTTTGGATAATCTTACCAACAACAAATTACATTTATATGGTGTCTTTCACATCAGGAGCACGTCCAAAGGCTCTGGATAGTCAGGGTTTCCGCACCCAAGCTGGTGGTTGGGATCAGGAGGGGTGGAGGGCAGGGACGATAGGGGTAGGGGAGGGCGGAGGCCAGGGAGGGGGGAAGCAGAGTGATTGAAAGCACGGTCGAAGAGGAGGTTCTTGAGATGAGTCTTGAAGGAGGCAAGGCAGGGGCGAGGCAGAGGGACTGTGGGATGGAGTTCCAGAGGGTGGGGGCAGAGGGCCTGAAGGCCCGCCAATGGTGGGGCGGGCAAGGCGGTGGACATGGAACATTTAACTGGGGAGGTTTGCTCTGTCCGACCGGCAGTCCGTGCTGTGCGCAATTGGCTGCCGCGTTTCACCCACAAATATACGGTCAATTCACTTTACAGTATATTCTGTGAAGCGCTTTGAGACGTCTCGAAGACGTGAAAAGCACTATATCAAATGCAATGGTTATTATTATGTCTACGGATGATGTCACTAAGAGGGAGCATGCAAATGTTGAAAAGGAGACCAAGGACAGAGCCCTGAGGGCTGGAGGAGAAGCCGTTAGTGGAGACAAAGTGGGGTCGGTGGGAGAGGTAGGATTCGAACCAGGCAAGGGCAGGTCTGCGACGATTGAGCTGAGAGGAGAGGCAGCGAAAGAAGATAGAATGGTCGACAGTGTCGAAGGCAGCAGAGAGGTCGAGGAGGAGGAGGAGGCAAGAGAGAAGCCCTGGTCGCAGATGGTAGAATGTCGGTAGCAACTTTGACCAGGGCTGTTTTACATGCTGTGTGATGACGGGCTTCCGCATGTATCAAGACACCCACCGGCTGACACCCAAAAAATTATTAAAACTGTACAAGGTCAAGAGACGCTTCGAGCTGACCTTCACGATTCGGATTTTGTTGTAAAAGTCTTGCAGAGTATCGTAGAAAGGTCGGATAAGTTTACGATATTCATCAGTTGCTTCGTTCACCCGAACCAGCTCAATGTTTCCCGAAGCCAAGGTCAAAACTTCCTGGTCTAAGAGAGGGAGATAATAGGATGAGATAATACTCAGACCAATAATAATAAAAATAATAGAAATTCTTGCATTTGATATAGCTTCTTTCACACCCCAAAGTGCTTCACGGGATTTATTGTGAAATGCAGTGACTGTGTATGTTGCGGGCGAAACGCGGCAATCTATTTACATACAGCAGTGCCTCACAAACAGCCATGGAGTGAGTGACCAATTTTATTTGGGGGATTAGTGGCCAGGACACCGGGAGAGAGAGAAACTCCCTTCTCTTTTCCATACAGACCAGGGTGATGGGTTAAATAGTTATCTTCTCAGGTACTGATCCCAGCAGAGTCAGCGTATCTGGGATAGAGCATTAAAACTCCTCTGTGGATGTTGCGCTGGGCGGGCGAGTGTTGAGCAAGTGTAGGAATGAGTTTGCCAATCCCTCCCCACCATCCCCCGATCGATCAACCTGCCAACATGGTTTGATACAGGAAGCGGAGAGGAAATGCCCACAAAATATGCAGTCGATTCACTTTACAGTATATCATATGCAGCTCTTTGAGACGTCTCAAGGACATGATAAGGCGCTGTATTCAATGCAAGGATTATTATTATTGTTATTACAATGTAATATCACATTATGACAGTAGGTAGAGTTACCGGTCGGGCTGCCCAGGGTCTGCCTCTCGATCCGCAGTGCCTTGGCTGCTCCGATGTTGTACTCCTCCATACGATCCAGGTTGACGGTGTAGGGCTTGTGGTCGAACATCACTTCCACCTTCTTCTGCTTGTGCTGGAACGCCTGCTCGATGAAAGCGTTGGCGCTCGCTGGATAGGGGACGGGGGTGGCTCCCTCCTCTGCACCGTAACGCACCCACTTGACCGACCTGGCGACCTCGGCCTCCTCCACTTGGGCCTTCTGTTCTCGGAGGGCCCTGTTGACGAGCCGGTTGACCCTCGTGCTGGCGCGCATGGTGTAGTCGGCAAAGCCGTACACCTGCAGCACGGCACCTCGCCGGGTGATGGTCACCCCGTGCTGGCGCTGGAGGTGCGACAGGTAACGTTCGTGCTCGGAGGACAGTTCTTGAAGGCAGTCGTTCTCGATCTCTTCCCGACGCAAATTGGATTGGATGATCTTCTCCAGCTCGGCTTTGACCCTCCTGAAGTCCAGGTCACAGTTTCCGTAGACAGTCAACTGCGCGGAATTGGAGGCTTCCACAGCATCCTGGATGGACATCTGCAGGACGTCCTCCATGGCGCTGGCCCCTGAGCTCTCCATGTTGTTGGACATTTCCAGCTCCATCGACCGATGGCTCTCCACCATGGACAGCTCGAGGGCTTTCTGGAGCTCCTCGTCCTCTCGGCTCCTGTTGTCCATGGAACATTGCAGAGCGAGCAGTAACTGAGCATCTTCATCCAGGTTCCTCTCCGTCTGGAAGGTTTCCAGAGATAACTTGGTAGCGAATTCAAGGTCTTTATCAGACGCTACCAGCATCATCCCAGAGTCTTCCAAACGCTCGCCATCACCGTCACCTTCATTGCCACCTTCCTGCTGAGTTACAGTGTCCATCTCTATGATCTCTAATTCCTCTTCCTCCCTGGCCATGCTCATGGTTTGAGCCAGTGGTTCTGTGTACAGATCTTCTTCAGGGGAACTGGCTTCGCTGGTGGCAGCTGATCCTCGGGCAGCTGGGATCTCTCCAGCTTCATTGCCGGTTTCAACAGATGTGGCCATCGGTTCATCTCCATCGATTGAGGCAATTAGATTTGTAATCATACCTGAATGGATATTACATTGAAACAGTTAACCATAAAACAAACGACAAAATTACACTTGTTTAGCAACTTTCACGTTGGGAGGATGTCCCAAGGCGCTGGACAGACAGTGTTTCGGACCCGAGCTGGGGGTCGGGATCGGGGTGCGTGGAGGGCAGTGGGGAGGATGGAGGTTGATCGAAGGCACGGTCAAAGAGGAGGGTCTTGAGATGGATATTGAAGGAGGCAGGGGAGGGGGCAAGAAGGAGGGACCGTGGGATGGAGTTCCAGAGGGTGCGGGCAGAGTGGCGGAAGGCCCACCCGCCAATAGTGGGGTGAGCGAGGCGGAGGATGTGAAGCAGGCCAGAGCCCGCTGAGGGGAGAGCGCGAGCAGGATGGTAGAGGGTTAGGAGGTCGCAGAGGTAAAGGGGAGCAAGACCATGGAGGGCTTTCAAGGTGAGGACCAGGATCTTGAACTGTATCCTCTGTGTGATGAGCAGCCAGGGGATTCGAGCGAGGATGGGGATGATAGGGTCACAGAGCCTGGTGCGGGAGAGGACATGGGCTACAGAGTGCTGGATGATCTGCAGTCTATGGAGTGGAGGATTTGGGGAGGCCGACAAGCAGAGAGTTTGAATAGTCAAGCCTCGATGTTATGAATGTGTGTATGAGGGTTAAGAGTTAAGAGAACAAGAGAGAGAGAGAGAGAGAGAAAGTGAGGCCGAGAGAGAGAAAGAAAGCGAGACCGAGACAGCGAAAGAAAGAGAGCAAGAGAGAAAGAGAAAGAGAGCAAGAGAGAGAGAAAGCGACACCGAGTGAGAGTGTGAAAGCGAGAGAGAGAGAGAGACAGAGGGAATGCAAAATAGAAAGGGAGCCTGACATTGTGGTTGTCAGGCTTTCTACTCTAATTCCTGTTGCATGTAACGTTTGCCAGCGTTTGCCGTCAACCTGCGCCTAATACTCTCTGGAATTAGGTAAGCAGGCAAGTGCTCTAACCAATACTCTACAGGATGTCCCACTCACCCAGATCCAGACGATTCCCATTGGGATCAGTGACACTGACCGGGGGCTGTTGGTGGGATTGGATGGACCTCTCTCTACCACCGGAACCGCTTCTTTGGAAGTTGGGAGTTATCCATTTCTCCGAGCTGTCCAGGGAATGCTGGTTTATTAAAAAGACAACCATAACTTAAAAATGATGCCACCACAACCTGCGTCTATACAATGGAAACCTACATTTAATAATAATAATCCTTGCATTTGATATAGCACTTTTCACGTAGGGAGGACGTCCCAAAGCGCTTCACAGAACACACTGTAAAGTGAATTGACTGTATATTTGTGGGCGAACGCGGCAGCCAATTGCGCACAGCAATGTCCCACAAACAGTCGTAGATTGAAAATGACCAATTTATTATTGTTTTGTTTTGGAGGGATTATTATTAGGCTCTGTGTGGAGTAAGGAAACTTGCCCAAGGTTTCGCCCTCTGCCTGGGATTGAACTCAGGTCTCTCACTTGCAAAGCGAGTGCTCTAACCACTGAGCTACAGGACTCCACATTTGTACCCGTCAGTCACAAAGCCCACTTCTGTGGACAAATTTAGTACTAATAAGTCAATCCACTTTACAATATACTCTGTGAAGCACCTTGAGACCTGTCAACGACTTGATGAGGCGCTGCATCAAACGCAAGGATTATTAGTTGTAGTATTATTATTTTTTCTGTGTTGCGACTACCTATGAAAGCAACTGAGCTCCCTCGCCTTTCACGTTGGGAGGATGTCCCAGGCGCTGTCAAGCACTCTGGGACTCTACTCTGCGTGAGGGACCCTATATAAATGCAAGTTGTTGTTGTTGGACAGTGAAAGGTTTGTACCCGAGCTGGGAACTGGAGTCAAGAGCGGAGGGAAGATAATAATATTAATAAACCGCGCATGCGATATCGTGCCTTGTCACGTCGTTGAGACGTCTCAAAGCGCTTCACGGGATACACCGTAAAGTGAACCGAAGTGTATATTTTGTGGGAGAAAGAGGACCAAAAACGAGGTCAAGGAGGAGGGTCTCAAGACGGGCCTTGAAGGGGTCGAGGGAGGGAGCAGACGATCGGTGCGCGACTGTGTGAGGTCTGACATGCTGCAAGCGTGGGTTCGGGTACTGTCGTACCTCAGGCTCCAGGGGCAGCCAGCGGACTCTCTCCAGCCCGAACGTGCACCTGTACTTGGTCTCCAACTGCTTCAGGATATTCCTCCCTCGCTCCTCCAGCAGGAAGCGGGCGATGCCGGGGTGCTGGAGCATCACGGTGCTGGAGCAGATGCTGGAGATGATGCTGCGGAGGAGCTCGTCCGCAGGTTGGCAGGCGCTGGCGCTCCCGCTGATCTGTCCAGGACAGGAGGGGCAGCCCGTGTGGTCAGTCAGGAGAGACAGCGGACAGCAACTCATAATCCCTGATACCCACACAGGCCCAACACACCCGCACCCCCCCCCCCCACCCCGGACACACAGATACCCCCCCACCCCAGATACACAGACCCCCATCCCCCCACCCCAGATACACAGACACTCCCCCACCAGACACACAGTCACCCCCCACACCCCAGACACACAGATACCCTCCCACACACACCAGACACACAGATATCCCCCCCCCACACCAGACACACAGTTACACCCCCCACCCCAGACACACAAATACCACCCCCCACCTCAGACACACAGACACCCCCCCCACCCCAGACACACAGATACCCCACCCCCTCAGACACACAGATTAAACCCCTCCCAGACACACAGATTAAATCCCCCCCCAGACACACAGATTAAACCCCCCCTCCCCAGACAGGCAGACACGCCCCCCACCCCAGACATGCAGACACACTGCCCCATCCCAGACACGCAGACACAGCCTCCCACCCCCGGACAACCCCCCCACCACCCCAGACACGCAGACACCCACCCCCGACACGCAGACACCCACCCCCGCCACAGGCACGCAGACACCCCCCACCGTCACAGACACGCAGACCCCCCCACCACCCCAGACACACAGACACCCCCCACCCCAGACACACAGATATCCCCCCACCCCAGACACACAGATAAACCCCTCAAACACACAGATAAACCCCCCCCCGGACACACAGATAAACCCCCCCAGACACACAGACACCCCCCAACACACACAGACACGCCCCCCACAGACACCCCCCCACCCCAGACACGCAGACAGCCCCCCCCCACCCCAGACACGCAGACCACCCCCCCCCCAGACACGCAGACACCCACCTCCGACACAAGGACACCCACCCCCGCCACAGACACACAGACAACCCCCCACCCCAAACACACAGACACCCCGCATCCCAAACACAAGAGGAACTCTCACCCTCAGCCCAGTGATATCATTCCCTTCCAGGGGTACGATGGAGACCTGTCCGATGCCAGCCAGCACCTCGTGGTAATTATCCTGCAGGAACCTCAGCTTCCCAGACTCCATCACGATCACCGACTCCTGCAAACCAGTTTCCCCAAAATAATCCTCCAGCCGTTTCTCGGCTTCGGCTCGGAACTCCCCCAGGGTGAGGAGGTGGACCCGGTCACCAGAGTGGGAGACTTGGACCTGACAACACCTCAGGGACGAGACCAGTTTCTGCCAGTCGGGGGAGCTCAGAGCGTGGAGCTGCCGGTCAGACACCGGGACGTTAATGTGGCTCAGCTCCTTCTTGATCAGCTGGGCGATCGCTTGTGCCGTGGCCGAGGAGAACCCGGCCACCGTCAGCAGACCACCCGAGAGCGAGTAGCGGGCCGGAGCGCCCTGCCCCAGCAGAGAGGCCTGGAGGTGATCTCGGACTTCGCTCCGAGAGAGGAATCTGGCCTCGTCTGCGGTGACCGTCAGGGTGGCCTGAGCCACGGAGCTCAGGAACTCCAGGATCCGGTTCTTGGTCCTCTCGATGAGGAGACTGTCCCGGCTGGTCACGCGGACGCTTCCCTCGGAGACTTGTACGGAGACCTCGGAGCGCTCCGCCTCCTGGAGTTCCCGCAGGAGCCGGCTGGTGCGCAGGAGCTCCATCTTCAGCTCGTCGGGGACGTTGACGGTGCTGGAGAGCTCCTCCCGCGGCTGGGCGGAGACGCCCGGCTTAGCGTCCGCCCGGGCCTTGGGCTCAGGCTCGCTGTCCGGGGGTTGGAGGAAGTCGTAATGAGGGCGTATGATCAGCAGCTGCCCCTTCAGCCACTGCTCGTGCTTTAGTACCCGGTCGACAGCTGTGAACAAAGATGACCGTCTTCAGGTACAACAGGTAACGGGGCAGAAAACTAACGCAACAACAACAACAACAACAACAGCAGCAGCTAACTGCATACAGAGCCTTTCACGTCAGGAGGATGTCCCAAGGCGCTGGACAATCAGCGGGTCGCACCTCTGTGGGTTGGGATCACAGAGGGGTGGGGAGGGTCAAGGGAGGGTGGGGGTAGGAGGGTGACCGGAGATGCGGTCGAAGAGGAAGGTGTTGAGACGGGCCAAAAAGAAAAAAAATTATAAAAATTATAATCATCATCATAATAATGCTCGTTGCGTTTGATACAGCGCCTTATCACTTGGTTGAGGCTTCAAAGCGCTTCACAGAATATACTGTAAAGTGGACTGACTGTATATTTTGTGGGCGAAACACGGCAGCCAATTGCGCACAGCAGTTTTCCACGAAGTCATGGATTGAGTCGCCAAATTATTATTTTCTGTCGTTTTTAATTTTTTGTTAATTATTAAAGGGATTGTTACCCCCGGAAAGCGATCTGCCACTCGACGAACAACCGGGTTCCTACTGACTGCTATAGGTAAACAGAGGTGTGCGGAGTAAGGAAATTTGCCGAAGGTTTCGCCCCACCCGGGGATCGAACCCAGGTCCTGTTGCTTTAGCGAGGCGAGTGCTCTAACCGATGTGCTGCGGGACTCCAAAACTAATTTGCATTTGAGTGAATGAATCGACACGGATCCTCACAGAAAGGCCTCAACAGGAACAGTGAAGGCTTTCACTGGACTTCAGCTAACCGACGGTCTTCAATCCCTGCTATGTTTTGTGCTGATGTGACAAGGCGCCATATCAAATATAACTATTATTATTATTATTATTATCTGAACCTCCCCGATTAAATTACATGTGTATCGCGTCTTTCACATCAGGAAAACGTCCCAAGGAGCTGCTCAGTCAGGGATTTGGACCCAAGCTGAGGGTTGGGATCAGGAGACGTGGAGGGCGGGGAGGGTAGGCGGTCGACTGAAGGTGGGGTCAAAGAGGAAGGTCTTGAAGGAGGCGAGGGAGGGGGCGAGACAGAGGGGCTGAGGGATGGAGTTCCAAAGGGTGGGGACAGAGAGGCTGAAGGCCCGACCGCGGATGGTGGGACGGGCCGAACGCGGGGAGAACAGAACCAAATACCTTCCCACTCGTGGAACGTCACGACAGCTCTACCCCCGGGGAGCCGGGTCACTTTGGTGACGCTCCCCCCATGGCTCCGTGGGCTTTCGAAGTAAAGGTTCAGGAGGCAATCATCGTCGAAGTTCTCCACCAGAACGCGGTCCGTCACCCGGACCTGCTCCGCTCTGACACTGGCTCCATCCAGGCGCCTGCTCTCAAACTTCTCCTTCAACTTCCTGAGAACTGAAGAGTCACATTCTTGTAATAAATAATAATAATAATAATAATCCTTGCATTTGATATAGCGCCTTGTGATGCTATAGTCCTACAGCTCAGTGGTTAGAGCACTCGCCTTAAGCGAGACACCTGAGTTCAATTCCCGGCAGAGGGCGAAACCTCAGGCAAGTTTCCTTACTCCACACATCTAATAATAATCCCTCCAAAACAAAACAATCATAAATTGGTCATTCAATCCACGACTGTTTGTGGGACACTGCTGTGCGCAATTGGCTGCCGTGTTTCACACGCAAATATACTGTCAATTCACTTTACGGTCCATCCTGTGAAGAGCTTTGAGATGTCGAGAAGATGTGAAAAGCGCTATATCAAATGCAAGGATTATTATTATTATTACGACATTGAGACGTCTTGAAGCTCTTCGCTGTATGTACTGTTAATCGACTGTATATTTTGTGTGCGAAATGCGGCAGCCAATTGTGCACAGCAGCGTTCCACAAACAGTCGTGGATTGAAGTGATCAAATTGTTATTCTTGGGGGTTTTTTTTATTTCGGGAGGGATTATTACCTAAACTTGCCTAAGGTTTCGCCCCACCCGAGAATCGAATCAGGGTCCCCTCGCCTGTGAGGTGAGTGTGCTAACCAGTACGTTACGGGGATGCTTATAAAGGAAGATTTTCAATGCGCAATTCTCCCCGAGCATCCGCACTCAGCCCCACCCTGCAATGGTCGCCCCTCGCCCATGTCCCATCCGTTGTGTCTCCCCCCGCTCCCTCCTCCCAAATGCAACATGTTCCCTTTGCTATGCAGTGCTCCTCCCCGTGCCTATCCTCATGGAAAAGGTATAGCGGGTCTCCTCGTAGTTGAACTGGCTCCAAGGTGACCTGCTTAGCAATGGACTGTTAGAATCGAGTCAACCCTCTATGACTGTCTCAATAGTCTGGTTCGTGAGCCAGGAGGGACTTCAGTATTCCAGGGCACTCACTGTTGATGACAGCACAGCCCGGCCCATCGGCAGGACCTGGAAGGGCCGACCAGTCACTGGGGGCAGGGAATCCTCCCACTCAGCTCCTGGTAACCCCGCAGCCAAAGCCCTAACGGGTAGGGTGGTCCTAGCTGGACAAGAAGCGGGAAAGCTGGCCAGGCAGTGCTCTCAATACGGTTGTAGCTGGTTAGCTTCGCAGAATATACTGTAAAGTGAAATTGATTGGGGGTTTGTGCGCAAAATGAACATAGATGGAACACTCTATCTGGGTGGAACATTTCTGAGCACGGCGATGGGTGTCCATAGGAGTCAGACTATCAACTGACCACAAGATATAAAAAACCCCCACGTTTATATGTACCTTCCTTTGAAAGAGCCTCCTTGAAGTGGATGAGGGCCTGGCTCCTGTCCGGAGTGTAATGGACAGTCATGGTGTTACTGTCCAGTCCAGTGATCAGCTCCAGGTATAGCTCCAGGGTCTGGTACGCGGTCTTTGGGTTCAACCCACACAGCAGTAGTTTCCCAGGGTCTTGCGGTCGAGCTCTCCTCACTATCAGCTCAATGTTGTTGAATTTATGTCTCCCATTTGCCAGCACGTTCTCAGCGACTGTAACCGGCACACAAAAAAAACACAAAAGAGCATTTTATATTATGTTTCTTCCTTCGAAATACTGTACTCTGTCCAGCGCCTTGGGACGTCCTCCTGACGTGAAAGGCGCTATACAAATGTAATCTTGTTGTTGTTGCTGTTCACAGTCAGGAAGGTAGAAATCTGTATTTTTAATATTTAAATTTTAAAATAATACTCCTTGCACTCGATAGAGCGCCTTATTGCGTCTTCGAGACATCTCAAAGCGCTTCACACGATATATTGTTAGGTGAGTTGACTGAAAGGCACTATACAAATCTAATTTGTTGTTTTATATTTTGTGGGCGAACCCCAGCAGCCAATTGGCACAGCAGAGTCCCACAAACAGTCGTGGTTTGAGTGACCAAATTTGTTTTGGGGAGGGATTATTACCACTGGAAAGCGATCCGCCAATCGACTCACAACCGGGTTCGTAATTATTGCTATGTAAACAGAGGCGTGTGGAGCGAGGAAACTGTCTCTCAGGACACAGTGTATAGTTTGGGATACGACATGTCAAGCGACTGCTAGGCTGGTGGAAGGTGAACTAGATGGACCTTGGTCTTCTTTTGCCGAACAAAATTCTTATGAAACTTGCCTCAGGTTTCGCTCTGCCCGGGAATCGAACCCGGGTCCTCTCGCTTGCGAGGCGAGTGCTCTAACCACTACACTACGGGACTCCATAGAAGCTACTAAAATGCTGCAGTAACATTACCTGCTGGGTTCTCGAAGGTCAAAAGTGTGTAATCCCTCCGGTATTCAATGGACTTGATGGTCCCACCACCAGAACGCCGTTTGTTCTCGAAGTACAAGGACAGGAACTCCAATTGGGTCTCGTCTGTGATGCCGTGAACTTCCAGTGTGGCATCGGCAGAACATGGCTCCTGCTCCACAGTGTCCATCCTGTGGCGGACACAAGCACAAAGGAGCCGGTTACAATAATAATAATAATCCTTTATTTTGCTACAGCGCCTTATTCAACAACAACAACAACAACAACAACAACAAGAAGAGACGAGCGCTCTGACCAATCACCAGGACTCCACAAATCACACAGAAATATCACACAGCGTAAACACGTGAGCACAAGACAATACTATACGCACAACAACAACTTGCTTTATATAGCGCCCCTCAAACGGGGAGGCATCCCAGAGCACTTGATGGTGCCATCCCCGAGCCGGGGGAGGTGGGAGGTGACCGTAAGCACCGTCTTAAGGCGCGACCTGAAGATAGGGAAGGACGGGGCAGGGTGGAGGGACGGAGAAAGAGCGTTCCAGGGTCTCTAGGCGTTGTGGCAGAAAACACGGCCACCGATGGTGGAACAGAGGGCATGAGGGACGAGCAGGTGGCTGGAGCCAGTCGAGCGGAAGCAGCAGGTTGTGGGTAGGGGTGTAACGACCTTCCTTTCCCTTCGCTTCATACTCTACCATCAGGGTGCGGGACTGAAACACGGACTCAATGTTTACCAGAGGAGAAAGTTCAGCGAAATGAACGAAGCAGGAAGTTAAGGAGGAAATTGCAGAGACAGAGGCCTAGAAGCAAAGGACCAACCCCTCCAGGAAGTTGGGGAGGGCAAAGATAACCGCAAGCCTGGTCAGAGAGGAAGATCTTGAAACCTTGAGTGAGTCGGAGGGGCTGCGGGATGCAGTTCTAGAGAATGTGGGGGGGGGAGAAGGGGCAGAATTCCTAACTTGCCGCTGATGGGGTAGATAAGAGCAGGGAACCTGAAAACAGGCAGAGACGAGACCGAGGTAAGAAGGGGAAGCACATAGGCAAAACTCCGCTCTGCAACTGACCAGCAAATACGCAGTCGGTCCACTTTACAATACAGTATATTCCGCGAAGCGCTTTGAGCCACTTCCACAACGTGACAAGGCTCCGTATCAAATGCGACGACGATAAATTCACCTGCGCACCCCCACTCCCGGATTTACTTGCACATCATTTTTAAGGACAATTATACCACCACCCACCCCAACCATCACCCTGCCCCACCCCACCTCCCCCCCAAAAAAAATAACAACAAGCAAAACTGCACTGCAAAGCAACACAGAAAGAAAAGCAACATCAAACTGTGGTCCAAATATCCTGCTAACCTCCAGACACCCAAAGGAGGTAGTCCACACTGGTTCCTCTGGCTTCTGTGGGTCTCCCCCCCCCTCCCCCAGAGAGAAAGACTCTTTGACCCTCTTCAGTCTGTTAAACCATCCAAAAAGCAAGCCACCACTGGAATAAAACTCCAGAGGGAGAGATGGTTGGATAAATGAAAGTGAAAGTATAATTGATAGAAGCGACCAAAGTGCAGCAAAGCCCCAGATTGGGTCCTTTGCTAATCTCTCTCTCTCTCTCTCTCTCTATATATATATATAGAACATGAACCATGCAAACTCAGCTTTCAGCCTGATTTTTTAGATGCCTTCCACCCCTTGCATTTACTACCCCAACCAGGAAAATGCAATGCAATGCAATGAGTTTGCAAGAGTCTTTTTTTTAAAAAAAATCTGAATAAAAGCTCTCTCTCTCTTTTTCTCTCTCCCAGACGTCCTGTGTTGGAGGAGGAGACTGCTTTCCTGAGCCCAATGCCAGAGCTGGAGAGTCCAGGGACAAATGAGATCCATCCAGCACATAGTCCCAGCTTTAGAGATAAAGAGCTCTCTCTCTCTCTCTCTCACATACACACACAGAGCTGCAGAGATAAAGCAATCTCTCACACACACAGCTACAGAAACACAGCAATCTCACACAGACCCACAAAGACACACCAGTCACACACACACACACACACATACACCAGTCATACGTACAAGCACAGATACACCAGTCATACATACATACATACATACATACACACAGAGATACACCAGTCATACGTACACACATACACACAGATACACCCGTCATATACACACACACACATACATCAGTTATACATATACATACAGATACAGCAGTCATACATACATACACACACACACACACAGATACGTCAGTCATACATACACACACACAGATACACCAGTCATACATACACACACACACACACAAATATACCAATCACACGCACACACAGGTTCACCAGTCATACATACACCAGATACACCAGTTACACACACACACACACAGGTCATACATACACACAGATACATCAATCATACACACACACACACACACTTAGATAAAACAACAACAACAAGATTACATTTGTATAGCGCCTTTCACATCGGGAGGACGTCCCAAGGCGCTGGACAGTGTACAGCATTTCAGACCCGAGCTGGGGTCAGGGGGGGTAAGGGAGGGGAGGGGAAGGGGGGTGGCCGATGGCATGGTTGAAGAGGAGGGTCTTGAGGCGGGACTTGAAGGAGGCTGAGGAGGGGGCGAGGCGGAGTGATTGGGGGATGGAATTCCAGAGGTTGGGGCAGAGTGGCTGAAGGCTCTCCCGCCAATGGTGGGGCGGGTGGGTCGGGGGACGTGGAGCAGGTCAGAGCCGACTGAGCGGAGGGAGCGGGCGGGTTGGTAGGGGGTTAGGAGGTGGCAGAGGTAGGGTGGGGATCTTGAACTGGATACTCTGAAGGATAGGGAGCCAATGGAGTCGGGCGAGAGTGGGGGAGATGGGGTCACGGAGTTTGGTGCGGGAGAGGACACGGGCTGCAGAGTTCTGGATTATCTGCAGCCTGAGGAGGGAGGGGTTGGGAAGGCCGACAAGCAGGGAGTTTGCATAGTTGAACCTGGAGGTGATGAAGGCATGAACAAGGGTTTTAGTGGCCTGAGGGGTGAGGTAGTGGCGGAGTCGGGCGATGTTACTGAGGTGAGGGAAGGCAGAGCGGGTCATGGTTTGAATATGGGGGAGAAAAGACAGTTGAGGGTCGAACAAGACCACAAGGTTCCTGACTGGCGGTGAGTTGGAGTGTGTAACCATGGAGGGTGATGCTGCCAGAGCCTGAGGTGCTGAGGCGCTGGTGTGAACCAATCAGGAGGGCCTCAGTCTTGTTCATTCAACTGTAGGGAATTTGCCCTCATGTTGTTGTTGTTGTCGTTGTGTGACTGGTGTATCTGTGTATGTATGACACCAGTCATACATATACACACCCACAGATACACCAGTCATACGTACACACACACACACAGTTACAGAGATACACCAGTCACACACACACACACAAAAACAAAAAACGTTGCATTTGTACAGTGCCTTTCACGTCGGGAGGACGTCCCAAGGCGCTGGACAGACTGAGTTTCGGACCCGAGCTGAGGGTCAGGATCGGGGAGGATGGAGGGCAGGGGGGGAAACAGGGAGATCAAAAGCAGTCGAAGAGAAGGGTCTTGAGATGGGTCTTGAAGGTGGCGAGGGAGGGGGCGAGATGGAGGGACTGCGGGATGGAGTTCCAGAGGATGGGGGCAAAGTGGTGGAAGGCCCACCCGCCAATAGTGGGGTGAGCAAGGCTGGGGACGTGAAGCAGGGCGGAGCCCGCTGAGCGGAGAGAGCGAGCAGGATGATAGGGGGTTAGGAGGTCACAGAGGTAGGGGGAGCGAGACCATGGAGGGCTTTGAAGGTGAGGACCAGGATCTTGAACTGTATCCTCTGTGTGATGGGAAGCCAGTGCAGTCGGGCGAGGATGGGGGCGATAGGGTCACGGAGCCTAGTGCGGGAGAGGACACGGGCTGCAGAGTCTAGATGATCTGCAGCCTATGGAGGGAGGAGTTGGGGAGGCCGACAAGCAATGAGTTTGCATAGTCGAGCCTCGATGTAATGAAGGCGTGTCTGAGGGTTTCGGCGTCCTGCGGTGTGAGACCGTGGTGGAGCCGGCTGATGTTGCGGAGGTACGAGAAGGCAGAGCAGGTCATGGCACAGATGTGGGGTATAAAGGATACTTGAGGGTCAAACAAGACCCTAAGGTTCTGGACTGGCTTATACACCAGTCACACACACACACATCTACAGGAGTGAACAACGAACTGTGGTGAACGGTTATTTTTCTGACTGGAGGGAATTGGGTTCCCTCCGGGGGTCAGTATTTCGACCACTGCTGTTTTTGATCTATATAAATGACCTGAACTCCAACTCTACCTTTCCTCCTCTTCCCTCAACTCCACGACCCCCGATGTCCTGACAGCTGTCTGTCCGACATCGAGTCCTGGACGAGAGACAACTTTCTTCAGCTCAACGTGCGCAAAACTGAGGCCCTCCTGATTGGCTCACGTCAGCGCCTCCGCACCTCAGGCGCTGACAGTATCAGCATCCAAGGCTGCACTCTCCACCTCTCAAAGCCATCAGGAACCTCGGGGTTCTGTTCGACCCTGAGCTGTCCTTTCTCCCTCATATCCGCGCCACAACTGGCACCGCCTTCCATCACTTCCGGAATATCGCCAGACTACGGCACTACCTCACCCCTCACGCGGCTGAAACCCTGGTCCACGCCTTTATCACCTCAAGGCTGGACTATGGGAACTCTCTCCTCGCCGGCCTTCCCGCCACCTCCCTCCACACTGCAGGACATTCAGAACTCTGCAGCTCGTGTACTGTCCCGCACCAGACACCGCGACCACATCACTCCCACCCTCGCCCTCGCCCTCACCCTCGCTCGCCTCCACTGGCTCCCCATCCCCCAGAGGATCCAATTCAAGATCCTCATCCTCACCTACAAGGCCATTCACGGCCTCGCTCCCTCCTACCTCTCCGACCTACTATCCCCCTACTTACCTGCCCGTACCCTCTGTTCCTCTGGCTCCGGTCTGCTCCACATCCCCCGCCCTAACCGCCCTACCATCGGTGGCCTTCAGCCTCTCAGCCCCGAGGCTCTGGAACTCCATCCCCCAGTGCCTTCGCCGCTTCCTCCCTTTCCTCCTTCAAGGCCGGTCTCGAGACCTTTCTCTTTGACCGAGCCTTCAGCTCCCCTCTCGCGTCTCTACCCTCTCCTCACCCCCTCCCTTCCCTCCCCCTGACCATTTCCCCCTCCTCGCCCCTCCCTTCCCTCCCCTCACCCTGACCATTTCCCCCCTCCTCGCTCCCTCCCTTCCCTCCCCTCACCCTGACCATTTCCCCCCAATGCTTGGGTGCTGACCCAACTGTACAGTGCCTTGGTTCGTCCTCCCGACGTGAAAGGCGCTCTATAAATGGAATCTTGTTGTTGTTGTTGTTGAACTTGGGTATAGGAAGTACAATTTCCAAGTTTGCAGATGATATTAAGTTAGGAAAAGTAGTAAACAGTGAGGAGGATAGTAACAGACTGCAAATGGACATAGACAGACTGGTAAAATGGTCAGACACGTGGCAGATGAAGTTTGATGTGCAGAAATGCGAAGTGATGCATTCTGTGAGGAAGAATGAGGAGAGGTGATATAAACTGATAGTACAATCTTAAAGGGGGTGAAGGAACAGAGAGATAAGCAAATCTTTGAAGGTGGCCGGACAGGTAGATAAAGCTGTTAAAAAAGCATATGGGATATTAGGCTTTATAAATAGGGGCATAGAATGCAAAAGTCAGGAAGTTATGATAAACCTTTATAAAACACTGATTAGGCCTCAGCGAGAGACTGTGTTCAGTTCTGGGCACTACACTTTAGGAAGGATCTCAAGGCGTTGGAGAGGGAGCAAAGGAGATTTACCAGGATGGTACCAGGAATGAGGGACTTCAGTTACCAGGAGAGGTAGAGAAACAAGGATTATTCTCCTTGGAGCTGAGAAGGTTAAGAGGAGACTTAACAGACGTTTTCAAAATTGAGGGGATTTGATAGGGTGAACAAGGAGAAACTATTTCCACTGACGGGTGGGTCGGTAACCCGAGGACATTTAAAAGAAAACAGAGGGGAGGTGAGGAGAAATGTTTTCACACGGGGAGTTGTTCAGATCTTTTCAGATCTGAAAAGCATTGCCTGAAAGGGTGGTGGAAGCCGATTCGATAACAACTTTTAAGAGAGAAGTAGATCATTATTTAGGGAGGACAAGTTTGCAGGGCTGTGGGGAGAAAGCGGGGGAGTGGGATTGATTTGGAGAGCTCTTTTCAGAGACGGCACAATGGGTGAGTTACTGTGTGTGTATATGAGTACAAAACATAGTCAATTCGCTTTACAATGAATCCTATGAAGCGCTTTGAGACATCTCGACTCAGTGATAAGGGGCTATATCAATGTAAGAATTATTAATATTTAATTACTTTACTAACAGCCACTTGATTTAACAATCAAACCCCCCGCACCCCCCACCAATAAACACACATCATTAACTGGCTTCAGGTTTAGCAGGATATGAGGCAGTTGTGGAGTCCTGTAGCTCAGTGGTTAGAGCACTCGCCTCGCAAGTGAGAGACCTGAGTTTGATTCCCGGCAGGCCG